ACTACGTTATGACCTTTACAGTGCCAAGGTGACATAAAAGCCAACAAAACAAAAGGTAAACAATGTCATATAAAGAAAACATTAGAAAAAAATAAAACTTATCATATTACAAAACACCTTTGAACATTATTTCTGTGTTTTTATAAAGTGTATTACATGTATTTTCATTATTGCATTGCAATGTATCATTAACAATTAAGGATAAAACACACATGCATGTATAAATGCACTTACATAATGTTGTTACATAATTATGCAGCACATGTTACCACTTTTCCTGTATATTATAAGAGATGAAAGTACTTGAAACTGCCTTCAGCTTTTCTAAAGGTTAAACAATGTTGTTTTTTTTTCTAGATAAATCTTGTAATAATAATCATCAAAAGTATTAAGGTGGAAAATTAGTATTAATGACGATAAAATACATTAACAATGAGGAAACCCCTCAATACCTCTAATCTACTTGTCAACTTCCTATATTTAAATCAGTAAAGAGGATGATTTGTTTTCCGATCTTCTATTTTTAGAAACGAACGTCACTGACGCGTTATAAATAGCTATCAGGTTGCTGTTTTGATTTGTTTGTTTTGTTTGTTTCATTTTTTCCTTACTCAACAGTATTTCAGTCATACAGGCGAGGAGTTTCCTAACCACCGTTCCTGGAGAGTTACACCAGTACTAGACTACCTTCCTCCGCGCTAAACTACCAAAGCATCTCCCGGGGATCGAACCCACCCCAGAGAGGTAACTGGATTAGAAGTCATCGACTCTAACCCAACGACCAAGGAGGCGGTCAGGATGCTGTTTTGAAGAAGGCTTAACAGAGATATGATGAAATGTTCCAAGATAAAATTACTGAAACACTGAATTGTTTTTTCCAACAGAAAAAAAATCTGAAGGCCACTTTAAATATGTCTAAAAGTGATTCCGACAGATTTCATTCTTCCTTTTCAATTTAAATAATCTATACATAACTTTTTTCTTACTTCTCCCTCCATTTTTTTCATTAAAAAGACCTCGGATGAAACAGGATTTAAATTGTACAAAATTGATTATTTTAACTTGTATGAATGAGAATATGCAAAGCAAGTTGTTTATCAGACTTGTTGGTGTAATAAAGTCCCTGTTTATTCTGGTAACAACAATAAAGTTTCTGTCTCGTAAAGGAACGTGCCTCTACTGTAGAAACAATCATCACAATCATCTACATAATACATGCTTAACGAATAATTTTGGAAAATTCTGATAAGAAGAGGGGGGGAGGAAAAATCAATAGAAATAATACCATATTTACAACCCAGAATTGCTGCCAATTGAGGCTTTTCTTCTGTCTGTGACACAGAGTAATCTTCATGTACCAAATATAATCTGACAGAAATTACTTGCACTTGTATATATTGTATTTCCTTTCTTATAATTCATTTTACAGGGACTTATTTCTATTCATCAGAATGATCAGAACGTCAAGATACAATGTTGAATTATTTTTCAGGTTTAATCAGTTTCTTTCCAGACAGAATATATTGTGTATAAAACAGACCAGTTGATGTACTAAACTTATCAAATGTAAGAAACATTATGAATTATAATCCTACCCACACTCTGTACAGACCACTGGATTAAAATGTAAGAAGCATTATTATCATTGTACCAAAAGAACAGACCACTGTATTCAAAAGTAAGAAATTCAATCATCATTATACCAAAAGAACAGACCATTTACTAGATTAAAATGTAAGAAGCATAATTATCATTATACCTAAAGAACAGACCACTAGATTAAAATGTAAGAAACATAATTATCATTATACCTAGAGAACAGACCACTGCATTAAAATGTAAGAAACATAAATATCATTATACCTAAAGAACAGACCACTAGATTAAAATGTAAGAAGCATAATTATCATTATACCTAAAGAACAGACCATTTACTAGATTAAAATGTAAGAAGCATAATTATCATTATACCTAAAGAACAGACCACTAGATTAAAATGTAAGAAGCATAATTATCATTATACCTAAAGAACAGACCACTAGATTAAAATGTAAGAAACATAATTATCATTATACCGAAAGAACAGACCACTGGATTAAAATGTAAGAAACATAATTATCATTATACCTAGAGAACATACCACTGGATTAAAATTTAAGAAACATAATTATCATTATACCTAAAGAACAGACCACTGGATTAAAATTTAAGAAACATAATTATCATTATACCTAAAGAACAGACCACTGGATTAAAATTTAAGAAACATAATTATCATTATACCTAGAGAACAGACCACTAGATTTAACTTTAAGAAGCATAATTATCATTATAACTGCTGAGCTTTTTGTACTGTATTTGCATGATATATGCTTATGGTTTTTTTTATAATATATACATGAACAGTCTTTAATCCTTTAAAATTTCAAGTTATATAATATATAAGGAGACACTTCATCAGCTATCAAGTGTGCTGGTTTTAAGAGCATGAAATTGTTGGTATTCACTAGCAGTGGTTATTTCTATAATAAACATAAACTAAAAACTTAGTGACAAAATGATTTCTTTAAAACTGTCTACAAAATAAACAGAAAAGAGAGTTCATTTGTTTGAAAATGATCTTCAAAGTAATGGACACATAAATCAGGCATTTTCTGCAAAACAGAAACATTACTTCATTCATTTTATCTGCACTGCACTTCTATCTGTTCTAATTTTTCTCATTTTCTCGCGGAGATTGATCAACTGTCAGTAGTATCTCTTATTTGTTCATCATTCCGTCACTTAAAATGCTTTACAACCTAAAAAATCCTCTAAAATACAATCTTTCAAATGAAAAACATTCTGTTTATTCTACAAATTATTGTCCTCCGAGAAAACAGTATCTCCAAACATTTGATTAAAGGTACAAATTACAGGAATCTGCTACTATCTGATGGATTAACATGCTTTAATTACTTCATACTTTCATTCCTTGCGGTAAGGTTGTAACTTGAGAGAGCTTTAATCAATTGCTGTGTACAAACATTTTATAATCTGGAATAATCTAGGTTCTTCTTTAAAATAAGAGGAAGTAACCTTTTTTTTATATTACATTTATTCAGACTTTGATCAAACTTATCTAAGATAATCATTGTGATATACAATGTACATGGAATTCCTTAAATCTTGAATGGACTGTTTTATATTCAAAATACATTTCACTAATTCAGCAGACTAAGTGGGTTAGGTAATAAAAGAATCAAACAGTCTCAATCTGATGTCATCAACTTCAACCCAATCACTGTCAATTTGTGAAAACTAAAATAGGGACTTATTTATAGGAGTTAGCCATGTACCTGTGTTGCTAATTATACATGTGATTTGCTTGTACATGTAATGTCTTTTTTTAAAACACCTCTTGCTTATAACATGTGCTGTCCTCAACTGAAACACTTATTGCTGAAAATGTCTTTTGCTGTTTAAGTTAATTCTATCTTGTGCCATAAAACTCTTGTTATTTTGTTAAAAACTCTCTTATTCTAAGCAAAAATCTGCATCAGACTGTTAGAAGTGATAAAGTTCTAACATTTTAAATTCTCTTAACATGATTTCATTACCAAAGTGACAGGCAAAATGTTTTAGCGTGCCATATAAATGAACAAATTGCAAAAAATCTGCATTCTCACAGAAAAATTTGCATATTTGTTTCCAATCATATCCTGTATTTGGAATTTTAATCTTTCATGCTGGAAACATCACAGATGTAGAAAACTAACATGCAATATTTGTTTGTCTTGTAAAGCCTCAAAAATACATTTCCTGAGTGCCAAAAAATATGTTAAGCCGTAAGACATTGTATTTTACAAATGCTATTAAAACATTATTTTGTGATCCTAGAACTAGAACTATTATCACAAGAAATTTCAATCATTTGCAGGTCTTGCATAATTTGGCATAAGTGAATTATTATCAAAACTACATTTTGACATTTTGATCTTGTTCAATATCCCCTGATAGACATACAACTTTCATTTAAAAAGCAGTAAGTCTGAACAATGAGATATATAGTATTTACAATGGCTGATATTGAATATATTTCATTTGAAAAATACAACAGTCATAATGCCAGTGTTAAGAGAAATACCACTGTCATAATGCCAGTGTTAAGAGAAATACCACTGTCATAATGCCAGTGTTAAGAGAAATACCACTGTCATAATGCCTGTGTTAAGAGAAATACCACTGTCATAATGCCAGTGTTAAGAGAAATACCACTGTCATAATGCCAGTGTTAAGAGAAACACCACTGTCATAATGCCAGTGTTAAGAGAAACACCACTGTCATAATGCCAGTGTTAAGAGAAATACCACTGTCATAATGCCAGTGTTAAGAGAAACACCACTGTCATAATGCCAGTGTTAAGAGAAATACCACTGTCATAATGCCTGTGTTAAGAGAAATACAACTGTCATAATGCCAGTGTTAAGAGAAATACCACTGTCATAATGCCAGTGTTAAGAGAAATACCACTGTCATAATGCCAGTGTTAAGAGAAATACCACTGTCATAATGCCTGTGTTAAGAGAAATACCACTGTCATAATGCCTGTGTTAAGAGAAATACCATTGTCATAATGCCAGTGTTAAGAGAAATACCACTGTCATAATGCCAGTGTTAAGAGAAATACCACTGTCATAATGCCAGTGTTAAGAGAAATACCACTGTCATAATGCCAGTGTTAAGAGAAATACCACTGTCATAATGCCAGTGTTAAGAGAAATACCACTGTCATAATGCCAGTGTTAAGAGAAATACCACTGTCATAATGCCAGTGTTAAGAGAAATACCACTGTCATAATGCCAGTGTTAAGAGAAATACCACTGTCATAATGCCAGTGTTAAGAGAAATACCACTGTCATAATGCCAGTGTTAAGAGAAATACCACTGTCATAATGCCAGTGTTAAGAGAAATACCACTGTCATAATGCCAGTGTTAAGAGAATCAACTGAACTCACCTTGTCTCCAGTTAATGCATAAGCAGACAACAGACCACCAACAAATCGGATGTTTGTTTCAAACACTGACAATTCTGTAGACTGAAAATAAATTAACAATTAAATCATTAAACATATCTTTGGTTTTGCCCTTGCTATAATATGATGGATTTCTTTAAAAATTAGAAATTCCATAAAAACATTATCTGAACAAATTTGTATAAAATTTAGTTCTTCCAAGTAATAATACTAAAATAACAGACCTTTCATGCAAGTATAATTGTAATACTTAACATCTGGAAATAAAAATCTACATGAGTTCCCTAAGGTAAAGAAAAGAAAAGCAACAATTTCAGGTTCACAATGCAAGTCATTTAGTAACCTTATAGTTGGTTAAAAAAAACTTCATAATAAAATTTTAAGATAAAATTGCAGCTGATATACTTGGACTCAAATCTACACATAAAAATTAAATTGGAGCAGTGGCCTAGAGTGGTTAAGGTGTCTGCCTCTCAATTCATAGATTGTGGGTTCAAGCACTGCCTTGGGTCACAACCATGTTTCTTCATATGAGAGCAGTACTGACTGTTCCAGGAAGAAATGTTGCGAGTTATTCAAATCAATCTCCATAATCAAGCTTAAATAAATAAAATTTTAACATAATCTCCACACAATCATGTCAGCGACTTACAGTTGTATATAGGCCACTTTTAACTTATACACTTGACCACACTTTAACCTTACTGTTGAATTTAAAACTTCATGTCAGATATTTGGACGGTAGTTATTTTCATTTGCTAATATCATAACATATTTATTTCTTTTATTAATCTATCAAATATTGTCGTACAAGTTGTTCTGTTGGAGAATTGTTTTTATGATTTACTCTATTGGGAAGAGAACAAGCTGTCAGGCATGGATTATCTTACATTTCTTCATTTCATTTATTACATCAGGGACACAGAGACACGATTTAACTTCCTTGTCAACATGGCAAAATAATGTAACATGATTTCTCCTCAGAAATAACTTTATAAATATGGTCAACAAAAAAAAGAAAAATAATTGTTAGTATTATTGTAAAGTAGTTTCACTGTGAATAATTTGAGTATGAGACACACTGGTCCTAAGGGCCATAAACTTGGCAAAATAAATAATAACCTTTTAACTAGGATAGTTTTGAGGGAAAAAATCTTCTTTTTTAGTAATAGGAAAGTTTTTAGATTATTGATTGATAATAATGTTATTTCAAGAATTTCTGCTGACATTTTGAAAGGTTTTACAATACTAATTGTAAACCTTCTTCAGGCTTTGACCTTCTTTATTGTCCAAGAGAAGGCCTAAATTTGAAAATATCCGACTAGCAGATTTATTATGAAAAAGAAAAAACCTGATATATTAACGCTTTTGTCAACATTCTGTTGAATTAGGGTGTCACTAATGATGGATTTATACAATAAACCTAACTAAATCAGTATTTACCGTTTACTTGAAATTTTATTTCATTTTTTCATTTTACCACAGTGGTCAGTGGCTTTAAAACTGACCATTCCAATTTTAATCATAAAACGGATAAACATTACTGCCCTTAAGTTAGAAATCATAATTTGAAAAGCCTGTACCTTATATGAACAATGATTATTTAGAAACAAGTTACATTGTTTATATGCATGTAATAAAATTTGTAAAGATACACACAGACTTGTAAGTTTATTTTGGTTCCAAAGGATTTTGATATCAGACAATTCCCATTTGAATATTATATCTCTATAAGCTATAGTCGGTCGGATATTGGCATTTCATCTACAAGATTATAAATTTCCTAAGAATAATGTCTGCATGAATGATGATTCAAAATTTCTGGTTTGTTTATTTTGTTTGGTCTTACAGTGCACCAACACAATTTCTGTCATACAAGTCATGTATGGGACCAGGAAAGATGAGTTTTGCTAACCTTGTGTGCTAAAAACTTATAGAAACACCTGGAGGTCCCCTGCTGGAGCTAAGAGATGAATAGACTCCAGTAATTTGAACCGATTTAGTCGCCTCCTATGATCACATAACAGTGGCTGCAATTCTGATGCCTCATCCCTTAAATGCAACCCCTCATCCACAAGGGGAAAAAAGTGCTGAAAAGGGAAATAACTTGGAAAAAAAACAGTCATAGTTATGTAACTTGGCCAGATCATGTTCTTTGTATTGGTAGGTAAGTATGTAAATTATGAAGCCATTCATGATTGGTACAAAAAATCCAACTTGCCGTATTAGGTTAACCTTGTACAGACGGACAGACAAACAGATAAATTAAATAAAAAGAACTATCTTTCAAATTCATTTGCTAAAACTGAATTTTCCCTGAAATGACAAGCAAAAAAGATCTATCTTTTTACTCGATCAGAGTTGGGAACGATGATGTATCTTTTTCGTGATTGCATCAAACATTTGATTTTTTGTCTGTTGACCTTCAAACAACACACACTGCACTGTGTGCAGAAAAATGTTTTTCAAAGAAATTAACTGCAAAATAGATTGTAATTTAGATAAAAAATACCACAATTTATAACATTGCCCTGGTTTTCTGGAGAACAAATGGCCCATCATGATCACTTTATTTGGTTGTGTTTTTTTTTAATTTGTTTTCTAATCTAATCAGACTGTTACACAGAACAAAGACTTGGTCATACTGCAGGGAATTACACTGTCATAGAGCCCACTTCAAGGAGAAATATCATTGAAGGAGGAAATTATATTGCAGAAAGTTTTATAACAAGTACAAAATACATGTATTTAAATTATTTTATATTAACTGTTAGCCTGCTAACCAATGCAAATCAAGATCTGCCCGCATTTCTGTGTTTTCTGACCATGATCTGCACTGTTTGCTTTGGTTTGAACATATTCAATCAAACTCGATTTCTGAGTCCTCTTTCTGGAACCAGCCAGTACTGGTGTCATATGAAGAAACATGGTCATGACCCAATTAGGGCTCAAACCCATGATCACGCAGGTGGGTTGAGAGGCAGACACCTTATCCACTAAGTCATCGCTCCCCTGTTTTCTTTAATTCAGTCAGTATTTATTTTAAAATTTTACCAAAAATTATGAATAGATTTGTACAGACTGAAAGATAGAAAATGCCATTTAAGATATATTGTGTGGTAAGATTTAATTAATTCATATATATTTCAATTTTATTATTGAGCATTATCTTATATGTCCCTCAATAATAATATTATAATGTATAATCCTCATGAAAATTATACACCAAATGCCCCACCTTTTTATATTTATAGTGATTTGATATTCATATCAAAAAAAATTCTAAAGGAATTATTTAAACAATTTTCTGTATGACATAAGTTACCAAAGAAATATCATGATTCATTGCTTGAAAAAAGTTTATAAAATACTGTTTATAGCTTTTTTTTTTAATTTGAAACACCCACATTGACAGATGACAATCTGAAATATGCACATGTCAACAAATAACATAGCATTTGTTTGCTTGTGAAGGGAACGGCAGCCTCTAGCATCTTGGGTATACGTGAATGCAACCCGCTTCATGTTTATAACAAGAAACATGGCAATGCCATGAAACCAGGTTTTCAATTATCACCATTGTAGATAAATATGTTGTATTTGAAATACAAATACAAGCAACAAACAATGTAACTATGTGCAATGTAAAACATGAATAATGTAGGAGGAATTGCCACTGAAGAAGTGTTCACTATATATTCTGTATAAGGAAAAAAAACAAAGGGCCATGATTAGGTCAAAAATTATCCAATCACAAAACCCGACAATATGTGCCAGGGTGCTTGGTGACAAAGCTTCTGTGAAAGTTTGAACAAAATCCGTTGAGAAATGTAGGACGAGTTCAGCACAGAAGAAAAAATTTGTTCACTATATATTGATAATTCTGTATAAGGAAAAAAACAAAGGGCCATAATTAGGTCAAATATTATCCAATCACAAAACCCTGACAATATGCGCCAGGGCACTTGATGACAAAGCTTCTGTGAAAGTTTGAACAAAATCCGTTGAGAATTGTAGAGGGAGTTCAGCACAGAAGAAATTGTTCACTATATATTCTATATAAGGAAAAAAAACAAAGGGCAATAATTAGGTCAAATATTATCCAATCGCAAAACCCCGACAATATGCCCCAGGGCACTTGGTGACAAAGGTTCTGTGAAAGTTTGGTCAAAATCCGTGGAGAAATGTAGGAGGAGTTGCGCACAGAAGAAATTGTTCACTTTATATTCTTTATAAGGAAAAAAAACAAAGGGCAATTATTAGGTCAAATATTATCCAATCGCAAAACCCCGACAATATGCCCCAGGGCACTTGATGACAAAGCTTCTGTGAAAGTTTCGTCAAAATCCGTTGAGAAATGTAGGAGGAGTTGCGCACAGAAGAAATTGTTCACTATATATTCTATATAAGGAAAAAAAACAAAGGGCCATAATTAGGTCAAATATAATCCAATCGCAAAACCCCGACAATATGCGCCAGGGCACTTGATGACAAAGCTTCTGTAAAAGTTTGGTCAAAATCCGTTGAGAAATGTAGAAGGAGTTGCGCACAGAAGAAATTGTTTACGCCCGCCGCCCGCCCATCCGCCCGCCCGCCGAGTCGCCCGCCCGCCGAGTCGCCCGCCCGCCGACATACCTCAATCTAATAACCAGTTTTTTCCTTCGGAAAACCTGGTTAAAAATATAACTACCGTAGTTTGTGTTCAGTTATGGAGCATACTAAAAAGGTCCTTAATAAACTGATACAGAACACTATCAATATATTTCATTATTTTTTGGTATTACTGACCTGCCATTATAGACACATTTACATTAATTTAATAAAATAAAAATATGTAAGTAAACCATTTAGAATGTGATATATTAATGTGAAAAAGAATGGTCAGATTAAATAATGTTTCGACTGATGAAGAAAATATACTTTTTTTGGAAATAGGGCAAATTATAGCTTTCACTTGAGCATGCAATACATGTACAATATCTTAGCTTAATACATTTTGTATATGTAAGTAAAAAAACTTTAATGATGTTAAAAGCCCATCAATACCTTATTGTTTTGTTATGCTCTAGTTTGCCTGTACAAAAGGATAACCAGCATATTTTCTGTTGTTTTTGCTTTCTAAATTTAAATTGCTCTATACTTTATTTGTACAAAAGCAAAAGTAACATAATATTATGTTCTGTTGTTTTTGTTGAAGTTGAATTTGCACCATTTGTCATTAATCAATGATTTATATCAGTACTAAAAATGCTTCACTTTCAGATGTTCAACATATTCAAAAAATTCTTAGTGTGTATAAAACAGCATTTCTTAAACTATATCTCAAAAGAGTCATTACAATTTAATTCAAAGAAAAGTAAATAAATACTTTATATATCATTTTTCTTCATTTAGTCTTGTTTGAAAACAAAGGATACATCAGTGACATATGAAGAAACCTTCCAGGAAATAATTGTCAAAAACAATTAACTTATTTTCCTATTTCCTTTCTGACTGCTGTGAGGAATTTATTTCCTGTAAAGGAAGCCATTTTTTATTCGGAAAGTCTTTTAGTCGGAATAAAATGCATTTGGAAGTATAATGCCATGGAGAAAATTATAGGCCTGAAGATATAATAGATTTAAATCAGTAAACTAATTTAACTAAACAGTCTTTTAAGAATACAGGTATTAGAAGATTAATGTCAGAGTTATATGTTAAAAGCAGCACGCCTCCAGAAGAAAACAGAAAATCTACCGTTGTACTTATATAATACTTTAAATCTCTCCCCAAATGCATAAAATAATTAAAAGCTTTAAAACATGCATATTTCCATGTTTTGCTTCAAAATCAGACAGTCTTGTTTTTCTTGCCATTAGGATATATTTCCTTTAAATATACTATTGAGTTCTTTAATCCAGGTTATTTTAGAACAACATGTATAGGTTAGTGTTTAATAATACGCATTAACAAAAATAATTGGTCGCCTGCCTGTAGCAGGCTTGACCAATTATTTTTGTTAATATGTTTTATTAACCTTTTACCCCATGAGCATATTGCGAAAAATGGCCGTTTTCATTGAAAAGCCTCCTGTAACAAGTTCAAACTGCTATGAAACTATGAAAAATGCTTCAATACTAATGAAACTTGGCACAAATGTTGACTACACCATAGCCTCTGTAACAGCATGCTCAATGGTCAATTTCCTGTTACCATGGCAATGGGGGGACGTCTCAAAATTGCCAAAATCACTATTTTGCATTGTTTTTTTCCATCAAAACTGATTTCAAAGTGCTGCAACTTCTCAATGAATTGAGATAGAGTAAAAGGCTTTTCAGCGTCGGTTACTAGTTACCCTAAGATCCACCTGAGGCCATTTTAGCCTGTCACATGTCCAAAATTTTCTTGCGATGAGGCTTCGCCCACCTTTAAACCTCCAAAACAGAAGGGGGCACATCCCCCTTCTGGCAACCCCCTGATGTAATATTTGGATGGGGGACGGCGCCGAAAAACTGGTCACTTTTTTAAACAACATTTCTCAAATGAAAAACAGTGTTTGGGGCCTAATTAGGGCATTTTTTCACTGTTTGAGGCCTCAAAAAGGGGGGGGGGGAAAGCCGTCGAAACACGCTTATATAAGGGAAAAGGTTAAACACTAAGCTATACATAATATAAACCTATCAAATTATTGCTATAGTGACACAATTAATATTGAAAGGTACACAATTGTTTTCTTTATTAATATCTAAATCTATTTACTTACGGTACATAATTTTCCTATCTAATTATTTAGCTTTTAATTTATGGGCTAATTATATAATAGCATTTTAACATTGACAAGATCAGAAGTCTGTAAACATCGTAAAACAAAATGACATATTGTAACCACAGGCCAATTACTTCAAGTGCATCATTAACATGCACTTTCACACAAATTAAAATAACAACACTCACACTGTACTATAAAAACTCTTCAAGTGTTTGTTGTGTGTAAATATCCCCCTCAGCTTGGAATACATAGCTGTACATTTTTCCAAGTAATTACTTTTTCATAATAAATATACTCCATGGCATTGATTTGTTTTACTTATTATGAAATCAAATTGTTAATACATGTTATGTAATTGTTCTTAATATTCTTTAAGCCCCAAAATATCATGAGATTTAAACAAAATACCATTAAATATAGTAGTAAAATCCTATTTTATAGCCTGTTTGCATGCTTTTTACCCCTGGGCCTGGAACACTTTCCCACAAAATGAAAGAAAAACAACAACAAAACAAAAACACTGATACTTCATGAATATTCTGACATTAATGGCAAACATGATATTTATCCCTTGTAAACAACTTTACTTATATGTGCTTTCTTTTATTTTGAAAGACCACTTGTCAGGAAGTGGTAGAATTTTCATTTTCATTAGCTTGGTCTTATACTTAAAATACAGAGAAATAGAATCCCTAAAAAAAGTCCAAGATGGCAAAATTATAAATGTTACAAGCTCGGTTTGATGGACTACACTGAATTTGTTATAAGTCAGCTTATTTTATTAACAGAGTTTGTTTGTTCGGATTTTATGGCACGTCAACACATAACTGGCCATATTGTGCCGTTATTAACAGAGTCAAACAGGTTCAAACAGGTTTACTCACAAGTCAGACTGTTTAACACAGAAGTCAAATTGGTTTGTTTGCAAGCAATTCAGCTTTAATAAGACTTTTTTAATAATAAAGTCAGCCTGCTTTATTTAGGGTAGTGCGACTGTATTACATTATCAAATTTACAATGTGGCATTCATGAGAATGATGTGAACTTTTGGGAAAACTTATTAATGTCTGCTTCATAAAGAATAACTAAAAACAAGATAGCATCAAAAATAAATTTGTGTTTTACTTCTGCCTTCCAAGTGAATGTTGGCTACAACTAGAAATGCATCCATGAGACAAAATGCCACAACATTCTAGACAGACAGTCAGACAGCAGGACAAATAGGGGGAAATTTGTTATGCCCCCACTGAAGTAGTGTGAGCATAAAAAGGGAAGAAGTGAGCTAAATTCACATCTGCTACCACGAGGCTCAATACCTTCAATGATACATCATACACTATTTCTGATACTTACACCCTCAAACTGAAATTGTGTGGCAACCCAGTCTCTTGCCTCCTTGAATTCTTCGTTCATCTCCATAATGTGCAGCGTATCAAGGGCATCAATAATTGTTGCACCAAGACTTGATGTACCAAATATACTGGCACTGTGTCCTCGTTTTGAGATAGGTCTCAGCTCATTTGCTCCCCATGCGAACTTCTTGTAACTCTCCCACGATAACTTCATCATCTACAACATATAATGTTTTATCATTGTAAAAAATCGATCAATATCATACATGTTTGTCAATAAATTAACTTAACAACATATGAGAACTAAGTTGAATAAAATTGATTTCAAGACATTATCTCTTTAAAAATAACGCTTATAATCATTAATGTAGTTATTGTTTAATATAAATAACAATCAATCCGTTTGTACCAGTGGGGCAACTTTTCTACAATTGAATTGTAACAATATTCAGTGCAAAGGACTGATATGCATAATTGATAAATAATAAATATTCAAATAAAGAACAAAACTGATTCACAGATGACTAAAATAGCCTTTCACAAATAGCTTCCATCTAATAAGTTAGATGTTTCTTTAACCTCATTTTACCTTAGACAAGTCCTGCTTTACATTTGGAATCAACCATTGTAAATTAAAGGGATTTCAATATCAATCTACAGAAAATCAAGCAAAGAATGGAATTTTTACAAATCATAGACCGGCAATAGCAACCATTATGATGGGCCTTAGACTCTTTCACCAGTGTATGTTCCAGGCCAACATAAAGATAATTGTATCATAGTTTGGTGACCTTTGTTTTGAAAATATGTTTAATTGTTTATCCATGAATGCATAATGCTCATTGATTGGCTACATTTTTTCTGGGGTTTACTTATTGTGACGTCAAGGAAAGGATAACAATAGAAAAGTCATATTCAGATGTTACCAGCACTTTTTTCTGGGGTTTCATGTTGTGACTACATGGAACATGTTTTTCCTATAATACAAGACAGAAAGAACATCAAAACACTAGGCAATCTGATTAACACTCAGGGGCTTCACCCCTCCTACAAATCAGACAGCCTTGTATTATAATGCTCTTTCTTTTACTTATTAACTCTTTGCTGGTGTCCACTGATATTACCTATGTGACCAGTGCAGGCCAAAATCAGCTTGCACCCATGTGCTGCCTGATCATGGTCTGTGCTGGTCACTATCACATCAAAATTTAAAGTATTAAATAATGAATGATTTTATCCATATTGAAAGATGGAAAAGTCCATGTAAGATATTTAGCATGGTAAATGTTATGATAATTATATGACTGTCCAATCTATTGCTGGTTGTTTTATTTTAGTATTCTGTTATTGAAATCCTCAAAATTCAAATTAATTGACTTTCAAAATTCAAAGTATGGCAAATCCTTTATGGGTTAAGGGTAGAATGAAATTATGGTGGACATATACATATACAAAATGATTATGGCTACTAAAAACATACATGTACATATGTTTAATCCAAACTAATATGTTTTGATAACATGTATATAGTTTACATACATCTGTATTCTGTAGTTTACTTGTGCTCAAACATGTATCATACTGTACTATTAGTTCAACACAATGTAACAGCTGCTTTAACACTTTATACCATGCTTAACACATATGTTTAAAATAATAATATGTTTACAATAAATATTTAATAGCCCAAGCTTTCTTAATAATTATATTTCTTATAGAAGTTAGTATAACAACATGGCTGGCATCTGAGAAATATATCATCCCTTCAGATTTTAAGGATTAGTACTTTCTTTTGCATTCAGTATAGGTTAAAGTTTATTAGTACGTATTAACAGAATTAAATTGGTCAGGCGTGACATGGCCGCGCGACCATTTATATTTGTAAATACGTACTTATAAATTTTAACCTGCTTATTGTTTTGAATTATGTTCATAAACAGTAGATTTACTGAACTGATTAACAGTTTGTCGATTTACTAAAGTAAATGTGTTACGATTCACTTGAAATACTGCAATCCTATTGGACAAAAAATAATTTCAAACACTTATATAAAATAGAGGCTGAATATACATATAGCTAGACCTACAAATGTATTACTTTTACACTTCACTGTTAATTTACCGATGACAAAATATTTTCTATAAATTAATTCTGCTATCTAAATAAAGACATACTATAGTTATAAGTTTGGTTGTATTTCTAGAACAGTTTGTAACAATATTTCTATTATAATATCAGGAAACTAAGATCCATATAACTGTAGATAAACACTTCATGTGGAGCTGTCCCAATGGATTCTGCCCGACAAGTTTAAACTAAGACTATAAACTTGCAATATTTCAAAAGCATAGAGCTGAAACAGAAACAGAATTGAATATACCCCGGTAGTATAAAGTTTACATTTACAGCAGTCTGACAGGCACAAATATTGATCCAAGTGCTTCGTATTCGAATCAAACAAATATAATAATTCATTTTGTCACTTGTTCAGCTTCAACTTTATTTCACTTCAATTCCTAAAATTTGTCTTACAACAAAATAAATGACATTTTAAAGAATTATTAGAGTTATAAATATTTTTCACTTTAAAGATTTATAATAGTGTGGTTTTTCCCCATAAAAGTGGACTGGTGAAGTGATTTGCAGCATACAGTGTTCATAATATTATTAATTACACATAGCAAAATTTAATTTAAAAAATTTTTATGTTGCTAGGACCTCTGTTAAGATTTCCCTTTCTCAAGGACATAAACTAGCATTGTTTTCTTATAATAAATAGTTTCCTTGGTTTGTTTCTTGGTACAGACAGATTTATTATAGAGTATGACATAATGTAATTGAACACTTCCACTGTGTCTATACTTATCATGCTATAAAGTCATAATTCAACTGTAATACAATGTATCAGTATCACCAATTGCCAGTGCCTTGTTCTTCTTCAGAAAGTACATTTATTATCATATATACCATATATATATTATCTGTGACCATTCATTCAAGTTTCAACTTGTAATAGCCAAAAAGGGTGTATTTTTTAATGGCAATTAAATTATTTTTTAAAAAGTGTCACTAGATTTTTTTCCCCCAAAGAAATGAGAAAGAAAAATACATTGTACTTCTTTCTATTGAAAATATAAGTCAGTCATAGCTGGAAAAAAGAATTCTATCCTTCATCCAAAAAAAACAAACCAAAACAAACTAAACAAGTTTTGTTTCTTTAAGAGTATGGATGTATTTGCAATTTGCAGGAAAGATTGATTTAGAGTAATAAAACCCAATAAATCACAACAACAAATTTAGTGATAAATTACTATTTAAAGTATTGAAGGACAAGAATCATTCAATATATTGTACAAGTCAATACACAAATACAATGCTCTAGGCAGTTTAGTATCTATATAGTCCAATAAACCTTTCTAAGGTCAATTTGGGCTATGTATAATTGATAAATAGTAGGTTTTTACATTAGTGTAACTAACATAAATGAATTATGTTAAATTTGTTTTATTTTCTAAATGAGCTAACTGTACAAGCATGCGCAAAACAATAAAAGTATTGCCACCATAACTACAAAGATAACTAATTGATCCATAAATTATTGCTAATTAATGTAAGGTTGCATCACGTTTAAAAATATTACCACAGGGAAGAAACCTGAATGTCACTTTGCCAAAGTGATGGCCATACTTACATATTAGTGCATCACATCTTAAATATCATTTACTCAAATTATTATTTTAAGATGCATAATACTTTCATAAGATTTGATTGCAATCAATTCTTTTAATATAAATTATGCTTTATTTACAAACTTGAAAAATAAAATGCTTATTTGAGGCCATACTTAAACTTTGCAAAACATTTACATATATTATCTTTAAAAGAGCTAAGTATAAAATGATGATACCTGTCTGGAAAAAAGTTATGTTGAAGAACAAAAATATGCATGGTTTCTTAAAAATAATTCATAAATTTCACTGGTTATATGATGAATTTCACTTTTACCTGTTAAAACAAATGTTTGAATTATGTGGAGTTACCAGTTATTGCACTTAGGTGATGATATATGGTATATATTACAGAGCTCCAGATAATTTTTCATGCAATTAGTTTTCAACTTCTTGATGTTTTCAGCAATTAGTTTTTTTCACCACCAGATTTCAAAGACAATTTTTTTTGAATATTCATTTTTTTATTGTTTGTTGTAGAGTCATATTTAATAAGAAACTACATGCATTTTATAAAGCATGAGATAAACACCTTCACCATCGGTAGTGAGATGCTCAGTTTTCCATTAATTAAGTAACTTTTAAGTAATGTTTAGTTTTCTATGTTTCATGTTGTTGTTTTTTTCAATTAGGAACAATGACATTTGCTATTAACTTCGATTTCCTCATTCAATTTCTCCAATCTTTTTACAAAATTTAGCATAAAAAGGAAATATGCTGTTTGTTCTTTGCCTTGTCATTTTTCCAAAAGGGAGGTCACTCTAGCACATGACAAAACTGTTCATTAAGGTTTGCATAAGTGGTGTTATGTAGTTGTACGTTATCACTCAAAAATATACCACAGTAAATATTACTGGAAATATCGAAAAACTGCTTTTTTCATTTCAGAAATTTTTACCCATTCTGAAATGATTAAAGATCCTGTATGTTGTGATCAAAGTGGTAAACCACACTAAGTGTATATGTACATAATTATGCAATTTTCAAACATGGAAGAATATATAAAATATGTACTGCAAATATTTGTGCATATTATAATTATGAAATCATTAAAATATATGCATTCATTTCTTATTGTAAAATTTGACTTAAACTTTATAGAAAATAATTTTTTATTACCTCCCTTTATTTACATGAAATGTTAAATTCGGTAATATCTTTATAAATAATGCTTTTTGGAACCTTCAATATTGATAAATCTTAATTTGAGCATCATATTTTTGATTTAAAACCATAAAAAAAATTGTGTTACAGGATCTCTAAGATTGAAAATCAATTTGTTTTTGAACAACAGCATTTGAAATTTTATTTGTTTTTGGTGAAAATCATTTTGTTTTAATGCAGGGCTCTACAAATCCTATAGTCCGACGTCCGGGACAACTCTAAAACCACTTGGGACAACTGACAATAAGCAGAAAGTTAGTCCCGGACAAGTCAAATTTTGACAGATGCTAATCTTGGACAACTGTAAAATTATGTTTACAGCATGGTGCGCCGGTAATCTTCGCCTGAGGCAATCAATCTCAGCAGTTGCTACAGGCAATAAAAATAGATAAAACACTAAATGTTTGATAAAAATCTTAAAGACAAAGTCCAACATTATTATAGACATGTCCAAAACACTATTAAGTCACAGACTTGGTCTTTGAAGTTGATATATTGACACAAGCAGACAGTAATTTGTGCCGTGAATTGAAAATTTGGAATTTTTTGTTTTAGGTTTTTTTTATGAATTCCTAAATGGAAAACAATAATAAAATATCCAAAAAGCATCTTTTATGAACGCATTCGAACATACAATAGTCAAAATAGTATAATTTATGAGGAAAACAGAAAATTTTTCATTTGTCACATATTTTCGCGATGCCGATTTTTTTTATATAAATCGTGAGGCAGTTTTAATCAGTTTAAAGCTATGCAGCAAGTAGAAATATTAAAAATCTTTTGTTACTTATGAATCAAAAGGACTTTTGACAATGTTAAGATAAATAATGATTTGTAAGTATTTGAATAGTCTAATTCACTATCATATTTTATATTTCCCTACCGGGTAATAATGACTGTCTTTTTCTTATTTACCATGTCCAATGTGAAATGTGGAAACTGAGAGAGGCTATGGTTAACTAGATTCATGTTAGAATAATTTTACTTAAATTTTTAAGGATAAAAATCCAGGAAAAAAATAAAACTGAAACAAAACATATAGGCCTACACAGGCTATTGAACTTGAACAGTGCTAAAAGGTACCTGGGAAGACAGCTGAACCATCAAAACTATTTCAGTTGAAGCAAAATGTTCTATTTTATACTAAATGAAATACTTAATGTAACTTAAAAATATTAAAAGATTAATTGTTTTTACTTCTACTTTGGATATATAATACATACTACGCATACTGAACATTTACTGAGACTTAGACACTTGTAGTCAATTTTGGGACAACTCTATTTTGCTAGGTCAGTTGTCCTGGACAACTCTATTCCAAAAAAATTTGTAGAGCCCTGTAATGATAAAACAATTCTTTAATTTCTTATCTGGAAATCTGTATATATTACATCTCTTTACATTTTTTTTCCCAATTGACAAGCATAAAATTCCCAACCCTCAGTCTGCATTAATGGTGTTGTTAATTTTCTTTGAAATATACACATGTATTTTCCTTTAGAAGAGTTATTACTTCAAATTAATCTTAATACAAGAAAACATGAATACAAAAACTATAAACAGAATCTATTCTTCTTTATCCTAAGTGTTCAATAGGCTCACTTAGTTAAAATACCGACCATACTGTGAAATTCTCAATTTGGACTTTATAAAATTTTAATCCCAGTTTCATATAACAGTGTTAGTGGCATTCCCAAAATGTTGGTAAAAATGACCTGGCAACACTTTACAAATGACTTTTATTTTTCTATATGCATGATTATACTATCGAAACTGTGACTTCAGATAATGTTTTTTTAAGTTGAGAATAGCCAGAGACATAGATAACTATAGTTACTTTGTCTCTGGTATAGCCTAAAATTTGTCCCATGGTGACCATGGTGACTGGGCAAAAATGTCTGTATCCAAGTTCTAGAATTTAACTAAACAATCTAACTACCATAATATACCTCTGATGCTTGAAATTCAATAGCTTTACAAAACATGCACATTTTATATTAAATAGAAGTTAAATATATAACAGTTATCTAACCTTATATCCGACTTATAAATAAAATTTACTTGACTTGAAGTTGAACAGTTCTTAGCAACAATTTATGTTATATTTAATAGGTGTTTACAGAAAATATAACGGTGCCATTCTTATTTATAGTTACCTCTTTAATTTTGTCTCTTTTCTGTTTGACATCTGGGTCAGATGGTTCACCTCCTTGTGTACCATCACCACCTTCATGCTCTTTGTGAACTGTTTCTTTTAATTTTTTTTCTGCCTCCTCCTTCATTTCCATCTCTCTCTGTCGCTGCTGTTCTATCAGCTTATCTTTATCTTCTTTTATTTCCTCCTTAAATTTCAAGGTATCATCTTTTGCTAAATTTGCCTTTTCACTTAACTCTTTCAAAGCTTTTTGTTTCGCAAACTCTTCAGCAATTTTCATATCTAGCTTTGCTTTATCTTCAACTTTGTGAATATCAACATCACCGCCATGATTATCCATATGTCGCATTTGTCCTGATGCTCCTTTTTGTCCCCCTGGCATGAATATGTCATCACCAAATATTTGGATCTGTTTTTTCATTTCAGGAACACTTACCCTGTCTCTCAAATCTGGTAAAAAGAAAAAAGCACCAAAGCAAACCACACCAAATGTTGCAAAAACCAGTAAAATGATATATTTTTCACGCATTCGTAGCGATTTCCTGCTAACTGGTATTGGCACTCCATTGACATATCTCTGGAAGGTTGGTAGGACACCCGGAGTGGCCATGGTCGCTTAAAAATAAAAGAAAAATAAAGTTATACTTCGTGTCAACTCCAGTTACTGTCACTCCTAAGACGCTTTCATATCCAATGTAAATTAATGACTGGCAACTTCTGCAAGCGTCTTGGTGAGAAGAAGCTGTTTCCGTCTGGGGACTGTTTCAAAGTTAATTATGAAATACAAAAACCGCGGAGGAATCCTGAAGTTCGGAACGCGCTATGTCCTGATTCAAGTTGAAATTGAATAAGAATTGGGCAGGTCAAAATAAGTTTAAAGCCAAGTGCTACTGTATATCAAACCGTATCTAAATATCAAGTTACGAACAGTAATGTTCTGTGTTCTTACAAGTTGAGCAGGAAACTATAGAGACAGTATTGATATATATGTTTTTTCTTAACTGTATGAAATTATTATTGTTGTATCATGTGCTATGTTCCTAAATGTATAAATAAAATTAATGCACAAAATAAAATATTTTCAAAACAAATGGTAATTTTAAAGAGATAGTGTGACCATTAAAACAAACAGTCGAACGGCCTAAGCAGCTCAGAGAAGCACAGGATCAGAGAAGCACAGGTCTATTGTTTCGGCCTGGACGTTTACATAAACTAAAAAGGTCATTTAAAGTCCGTACATAATTTCTTAAACTACATTTAAACACAATAGTGCCTAGTGCTGGTACCGTCGATGAACATGCTGACTGAATGAAATAAAAGATGATATATGTACAGTGAGTTCAAGACAAACGAGGCTGTTCAAAGTATTTTCATGTATACTATTTGTGTTTGCAAATCGACTTAAAGTACATAAAGATGTGTTTTTGGAAGAGTCACAAAAGATTTTTTGTGTGAGCCTTTGTTATATGATGATGATTATTATCATTGCATCCCTGTTAAGCTAATACATCTTTTACGTTTATTACAGCCTTTTTCCTAATTATCTTACACGAAAATACATTGGGTAAAAACTTTTATTACAAATTATCTATATAATGCCCCCCCCCCCCCAAAAAAAAAAAAAAAATGTTCTAAACCTTATAATGTTAGATCTACATAATTTTTGTATGCGGTATGTTGTTGATTTTCATGACTGTTCTGATGAAGAAGTATTAAAGTCAGAACTAGTGGAATGTGTTGTCTACTCAGTACTGTAATTTTTTCATATTTAACAATGATAGATCATGAGATATATGTATATGCTACAAAAGTATTGTACAAAAATATGTTATTTTGAAGTATTACACTCTAAATCACACTTAATTCTCATGTATACATATAAAATTATGCGGTTGGTTATACATAGCTTCTAAGAAACAGCAGTGTATTTCTATTTGAAATACCCTGGAAACAGTAATAATGATTTTAATCGACTTTGCTCAATATAGATACCATTTTTCTGAAATATAACCTTAAAGAAAAGATCAGGCATGAAAATGCTTTGCGACATAAAGATATAATACATAAAAACCCTTTGTCCTACCTACCAACAAAAGATTAATATCAGTCAGACTATAACATACGTCCTTGATAATATTAAACATTGATATACAGTAATTTCGTATGTTATTTGGAACAGTCAAACTGTTGGCCCGGGGTGGAGGGGATAGTGCCGAGGGCAACAGTTCAAAACACTATCCCCAACATCGAGGGATAACTGTTTGACTATTCCCAAATCACATATGAAATAACTGTTTTATTACCTGATCAAATACTGTTTCAACAGTACTTGCAGAAGAAAAAAGGAGCAAGAAAATAGTTTTGCAAATATGTTAACCTTCAAGGGATATTACTCTATGACGTCAGAGCACGCGAGGGAAACAGTCAAAACTATTAACCGGTCAACAGTTCGCGAACTTTGACGTTTTTAGAATTTCAGAAAACAGTAAAAAATACCATATAACGTTTATATAAGGTATGAGGTAACAAAACTAAATAATTCACGTTAAAAACAGGACTGTTATAATCCTTCAAGATATTATATGGCTTTTTCATTTTTTGTGTTTTCTGATCGCAGATCAGGAAATACAATGCTGACATTCAATCTCAGGAACAGCGCTCCCAACAATCCTAACAACAAAAGTAGTTCTCAAAACAGCTTAAAACTAGCGATGTAAAAAAATAGAAATATTTTTATTTTGTTACAAGTATCCAGCGATTATAACGCATTCAAAGTTTAAAGTAGCTTTGGCTTATAGAATTGTCAATAAAGGCACAATCACAAATTACGCGGATGAATATCATTTTAATCAGTGAAAATTGCTCGGATATTTCCGTAAAGCTTCGGATCATTTTGATTAGAATTAAACACCGACTAAATGAACATTTGTTACTTAGACTTTCTGAAATATAAAGTAAGGATGTTGACTCTATGACAGGGCCGAATTTAGGACAGTCGACGATCGATAATCAATTTCTACAATAAGTAACGGTCTTATACGTTAAGCACCCGATAATTTAATCCACGTAAACAAAGCGCTATTTTCTTACACACTTCAGCGCGTATTACACAAATAAATCCGACTGTCGAGTAGTGAAACATTATATACATGTCGGACTGTTTTGGGAAGAAGATTTTTGCTAAATTATCTACATCATTGTTAAACAACAGGTTTACCATGAACAAAATATCTCGTAATTTTATAGGATTACAATCCCCTAATTTAGAAAAATATGTTTTGCTTCAGACTATTCTTATAACTTCCCCGTGGTCCACGGTTTACACGCTCGTTTAAGAAGCCAGAGGTCTGGGGTTCAAATCCAGTCAAGGCAACTCATATTTTTTGGTGTGTTTTTTAAGTATTTGTAGCGATTTTAACATTCTTTCTTATAGAATAAGCAACGATATGCAAGGATAAAGTGTGGCTGTCTTAAAATGTACATAAATGATTTCATAATGCAAGTTAGAAACTCTGGTCATGCAAAATTCTTTATGTATCAAACTCAAACTGTTATAGCAAAAAATCTAAACGCAGGCGCTGCAACTCGGTGCCCTGCAAAATGAATTATACATATATAGTATATCAAAATAAACTTATACAGGAAAATACATACAGATACTGTACGATTTAGATTGCAAAGATCAGAAAATACCACAGAGCTTGCAGCCCTTTGATTAAAATGAAGAGCCGTACCATACCGTGCATGATAAGACAAAACACGGAGTTAAAAAATGGACGCGGATGAAAGTTACTCTCTAAAAATTGAGGCTCAGGAAGTTATCAAAGAAATTAAATATGCTGTTAAAAGTGTTGAACTGTCGAAAATACTTCAAAGTACAGAGGAATGTGTCTACTTCAATATGGAAACCAAGGAGAATCACAAATATACTGTTGAACTCACTCCCAAAGGATTTCGGGTTAGTACGGGGACTATCTCAAAGTAATTGAAAACAAACTGCAGTAGTTTCCGTACATTAACAGTCCTCGTACAAACAAGTAGAGATTTTGATGCTAAAGCATCAAGTCGCCGGATAGAAATATGATTGTATTATCATAAATAAAAGAAAATATCAGTTTAATGGTTCGAGTATAAAGAAAATAGGAACAATAAGTTGAGTAATGTTTACTCATAAACACGTTTTCATGTACTTGCCACAATTATATCTTTCTTGCTGTAAACTTTGTAAAAGAGTTTTACGCAATAAATTGATGTTATGTTATAATAAAACATCATATTTTAAGCAAACTTGCTTAGCAATTTTGTCAAGAAACTGTTATCATTAAATAAGCAAGTATTGTTTGGCAATATTTACCCAAGACTCAATAATTTTCGGGAGCTGTTTCGTTAGCTTACATAACTTATTATGATTAATGTTAACGATTTTATTGTAAGTATAATTACATGTATAATTATATCAATTAATACTGCTCGATGGCCTAGTGGTAAGTATGACGAAGTTGTTACATAGGATATAGTTAACGTTTATTTGCCTTTCAGTGCGATAACTATCAACACAAAGATAGTTTATTAGTTTTCTCTGTGTATCCAATACGATTCCGGCCCCTACTGTCATACCGAGATTTGCATACGAAATTACATTGATTTGCAGTTTAACCAGCTGCCAACCATTCACAATTTACCTGTATGTCAGTCTTATCAGCCATTTGTTACTATTAATAGATTTTATAACAGTATCATACAACGTTTAGTCACGTGATTCTGGGAGAAGCTGTTTATAATAAATAAGAAAAAAAAATAGAATAGGTCTCATAACATACAAACAACCAGATAATTTAAAAGTGTAATTTCAAATATCAGGCGTGATTTATTTATCATAAAATAGCATTGCTTGACACTTTGAAAAAAAGGAAAACATCCATAAATTTAATGACTGATCCATAGGGATACGTCATTAATTCATTTTATAAAAATTGTAATGTTGCTTTTTACGATGTCAATATTTGAATATTTCATTTCATTGAGCAACATTATTGTATGTTTGAAATTTTGAGATTACTGAAAACAATTGTAGTCTTTAATTGTTCAGTAATTGTTATGCTTTTATTTTCAGATTTTAATGCCTTCTCCTACCATAGGTATAATATTAAACTGTTACAAATATAGTCGCCGGTTTCTACCGGCGACTAATAAATCATATTTTACTTTACTTTACTGGAGTTGAGGTCGCAAGACGTCATCGTCTTCTATAACCCCCCATGGCTTTGTACCGAGTTCTGATCCGGTATGGTGGTATACTGTGTTGCTCCCATGAATTTGTCCAACCTGTTTTTAAAACTGTTAAGTGAAGGAGCATTCACAACCACTTCTGGTAAATTGTTCCAGTCCGATCTTTATATTTATGATATTTAAAATTATACTTGATATTTTAATCATAAGAAAATTATATACAGTTATAGTTACGATTCATAATCAAAACAATTCTCTCCACACGGATTCGTTCATTGTGAATTTGATTTTGACAGGGTCTTTAATTTCTGTCAAGAATCCAGTATACTGGTGCCTCATAGTTCAGTGGTACTTAACTGTTTACACAGACAATAAAAGTTAGAAGAATATAATTCTGGAAAATATGTTGAATATTGTAGGAAAGACATGTCAAGTACATAATAGTTTATTCCATTTAATGTTTGCATGTAAGCAATAATGTACACAACATGGCAATTAACACCCATCTACTGCAAAGTTAGTAAAATTGTGTTCTCGTATTTCCAAGGCAATTACATTTTAAGAGTTTCAAAATGAAAACCAAAAGTAATCTTTATTTTTTAGTATATCTATACTTAGCCTCGTCTATTTTCTCCATAGCATTTATCAAATATCTCAATGGTTGTTTAACAGAGTCAATTGTCTTGAAAGGTATGAAAAGTAAAATTAAAATGGCAAAATAATTTACTTTGCTCTTAATCTGAATAAAATAAGTTTTCCCGGTTGTATATGTAAAATTTGATAATACAGTAAAAAAGTAAAAGTAAAACTACTGACAGGTGCATGAGGTCTAGGAGTCAGTTGATACTGTTTATGCCTAATACTTTGGAAATATGGGTACCACGGAAATATGAGGCACCAGTAAATGTTTTAAAGCTCCGCAATGGACACAGCAGGTATATATTTTGTAGCAATAAAAAAAAAAGACGAATCTTTTTTTGCTTATATAAGAAGCAATAGTTATTTATTCTTAAATGACAATACACACTTTTCCATACAAATATTCTCTGATGAAAATCCATGTTGGCAATGTAAATAATAATTCACAGATATCGCCGAAGTTTAACGAGAGCATGAAAATCATAAACTAGCAGGAAAACCCCATTATAACCAAAGTGCGCAAAGGATTGTGGGTCTGAATCTGACTATCATCCATGTTTGGAGCTTCCTATCTGTTGTGTATATATCTGTGATAGGGTAAAATGTGGGTCATGTTAGAATTAAGAAATAATATATATACAGTTGACTCTCGGTAACTCGAAATCCAAGGGACTGGGCATTTTACTTCGAGAGAAACGGAATTCGAGTAAGGTGGATCTGCTGCCATTATGTTGACATTCGTACATGTATATACATGTGCCTGATTGAATGTACAAAGAAGTACGTTTATTATTGTTGATAGCGACAATGCTACAATATTTAACCGTTGAAATGACGGTAAATCACTTTCAACTACAAATTATGAACAAAAATATATAATGTAATACATGTATATTGATAGTGAAACATAAACACAAACATTCGTAGCAATGACATAAATGCAAGTTTGTCAGTATTCATCAGTAAAGCACATGCTTATAATGAACACTCATGACATATCATTACAAAAAAGCACAATAACACTTTTATCTCAACAACAATTTATCTAGTATTTGAAGTGAATTGATCATCGGACGAAAAACGAAAGTAGCAACTATCGTGAACCGAGAGTACATATTAATGTATGCAATATGAAGGAACATTAATTATACAAATGTCATTTACGTTGATAACACACATCTGAGTGAATACCTAGGCTGGTTTTTTACTAACACCTGTCAGAGTGGCACGAGTCTTAATTTTGTTATCTAACTGTGAAAACCAATTAAGTCCTGAAACCGATTAAAGCCACTTTTACGACGTGTTAATAATACATGATGACCGGCAATTAAAATTTCTATGGAACGTGTGAATCACAAAAGACAACATCTCACCTTGATGTCGTCGACCTTTGATCAGTCGGCTGGTTTCACAATTTGACTAATTGAGATGAAAATATGTTGGACTTTAATTGACGGGACCAAATTTTCTTTTCGACTAAACAGGAGTCTAGGTAAGTCAAAATTTGACCTAAGCGGAGTTAAAATACAAAGATAAAGAAGGAAATTTGACGGGACTTTAGAAATACTTCGACTTACGCGGAATTTTGAGTAAAGCGATTTTGACTTATTGAGAGTCAACTGTAAATATATAAATCAATAATAGTAAAAAGAGCGATTTATTGAGCGATAAAATCACTGTTTGGAGTTCAGATGTGAGGAATTATATCACAAGGGCGTACCCCCAAGTGATATAATGATGCGCATCCGAACGATGCGATAAAATCACTGATTTTGATATATTCTACTTACTAATCTATTATTGATTTCCAAACAAAGCTAGATTCTGAGATATTTTTGTTCTGGGTCAGAATCTTGTGTCATGTTTGTTCATACACAAAATTGCGTGTAGGACAATTAGTTGATAAATTAAATCTATAAAGACAATTTTTGTAATATGGTTACTCATTTGATGAAAACAACTAAGTTAATAATAAGTTTTAATTCACTATTTTTTTTAACAAAATAAGAACATATTGTATATTGTATTAACATATTGTTAAAGATATTCTTATGCTATATTTATGATGTATTATTTAAAGCATAAATTTTCTAATTTAATTTATTTTTCCATGATAATGTTACGCTAGTGACCTAGAACTATTAACAGAAACTCCTTGATTTTTAAATTATTTCTTTTTTATTAATTTTTAGTTGGTAGGAACACAATTTGATGTGTTGGACCAAGCAGAAGATGAAAATGCCAAATATTATGAGACAATCTACGCACTGCTTGACTCGATTAGTCCCGAGTACAGAAATACTTTTAGTGATACGCTTATACAGAAACTTCAAGGCCTTCATAGTATGCAACATGGTGATGGGTCCGAGGACACTTGACATCAGACTGGAAGGACATTGCTGGCTTGATGGTCCCAGTTCCATAGGATAGCTACTGGGCAAGAAATGTGTGTACATGAGCATGCTTTTGTTACACCTGCTTGCTTATAGAAATGTATCTAGGTAGTGGTGATGGGAGAGGATTTTATGGGAGATGATAGTGATGTTTATTACAGACCAGATGTATACATAGCTAGATAGAAGCATGATGCTGTATATATCTATCTTATATGGTAATATTGAATTTAAGAACCTTCTTCAAATATCTATTAATATATTAGTAGACATAGTCATTCTTTATGATAGTTCTAACTAATTAGTAACTTTTCAACTGGACTTACCAGTATATCTAATGGGGATTTTTTTCTTCAGAACTTTAGTGTAAAAAATTCTTTAGCCTTTCTATTGGAGATAATTTAAGTGTAAAAAATTCTTTAGCCTTTCTATTGGATATAATTTATATATATGAAAATACAGAGTTTCTCAATATTTATGAGTAGCCTTTCAAGTTACTTTTAAAGAGAGTTTACCATTTTATCCATTTTATAAGTTAGGACAAGAAATTTGCAACTTAACACTATTTGATCAATTTATTTATCAGTGATATTTAATGTCTTGGACATGCAAGTCTATATTCAAAGACAGGTGACAGTTATTTTTTATATTAAACAATGTTCTGTCTTATTATTTTATGACCTAGGGTGCTTAAATGCTTTAAATGTCATTCATGATTGCTTTGCTTTCCATGTCAAAATAAATACAAGAATTGTTTTTCCCAAATGAAAATGCAGGTATGCTTTCTACTTAGTTTAAACAAAAATAAGCCTCTTGTCACAACCATTGTGAGATAAATGTACCTGCCTCATATGTAGCACTAAGCATGCTCGGGGCAACAGATCCTACACATAATACCAGTGCAGACCAAGATCAGCCAGCACATGGTCTGCACTGTTTCCTATTCAGTATGTATTTTTTTTTTTTTGAATTTAACCCTAAAAATGATGAATGGTTTTGTCATAATAGAAAGATGGACAAGTCCATTAAATATATTTAGTGTGGTAAGATTTAATTAAATACAACAGTCTCACAATAAGAGGATGTTTGTAGATTACAGCATAGAAATAATTCTAGGATTAAATACTGGTATGTTTAGTTTATAGCTTGCTTGCATACTAGAGTACATCTGATTCTTTTTAATCATTTAATGAATATAAAGTTGCTGATAGCTTCTTCTTCAATATATTTATTTTCTGCATCATCAACCTTTCCCAGATCAAATTTCATATTAATGTTCCTTGTTATACTTTGATTTAGATCTGTCCATTCTTTCTTAATTGGATTTTAGTTCCAAAACACAAAACAGGTCAGTCTCTCTATAGATATATCTCCACTAGTTTTAAACTTGGGATGATTGTCCCTAGTGCTCAAAAGGTTGAAAGTTGATAATGCCCAGTCAGTATAGAGAAGTTGCTATTTCTGCATATTTTGCATTGTTATTTCTACAAGTGCCTTAAGGTCAGTTAAACCTTTTTGTTTGTATTACAACATTTATATCAATTGTAACAATTTAATAACTTTTATGAAGATTAAGAAGAGTATGAAAACTTGTTGTTGCTTTAAAAAATAACAAAGTATAAGTTAATGTAAATTTCTTATCACATAAGTATTAACGCTTAATTACAAATAGAGATTTTTTACAGTTGTTTGTCAACCAAGAAAGTTTGGTACTTTTGTTATCGAAGTAATTGTTAAGGTACACAAATGTATTTGAAGACACATTTGACCATAACTTTTTGGTTTGTTTTGAATTTGTATTCTTCTTTTTGGAATATATATTTTTGAATGCCTATTTATTGAGCATAACTGTGTTTTTTTTCTTTCAAATTACCAAATATTTCTATAATTGTGTTTATGATGTAAGGATATATATGGCGTGAAGAAGAAACTATTAATTAAAATGCATGTTAATACTTTAATTGATTATTTAACATTTTCATTTGATGAATATTTAATATACTTTTTAACTTTATTTTTCAAGGTAAATATGTAAATAAGTTATTAGACAAATTATTGAATATTGATTGACCTAACTTAGTTACAATTGAATTAATTACTTCAAAGTATGACATAAATTAAAACTTAACGTGTTTAAGATCATTTGTAAATCTATTCAGTTAAAACTTTATTGTGTAAGTTTAATTTGGAGAAATATCTGAACTGAAGCCATTTACTTTTGAATCTGCCTTTTATAAAACCAGTACAGATGGCGTATTAAGTAACTTATAAAAGACTTTAATAGAGCTTATATAAATGATCTTTGACTTGAAAAGCAAATGATTTACTTCACGGAAAATGTAGCAATGTTAGTACATGTACAATAAAGAAAATATTGCCAGTAATTTTTAAATTGTTGAAATTCTTAAAAATCTAACTTATTTCCTGATTAAAAGTAAATGACTGTTTAATGATTTATATGTTTCAGGTTGACACTAGATTTTGGAATGGATCTTCATCTTGTAAATGAATACAGAATATAACAAAGCCAGCATCATCTTGGGTAGATTAGTTCAGGACTGTTTGTATAATCAGAGTAGTGTTATCTTTATCATCACATTGATATCAACATCACCATGCTTTCATCTTCCCAGTGATATCATCTTCACATTGATATCTTCAACTTCACAATGGTATCATCTTCAACTTCACAGTGATATCATCTTCAACTTCACAGTGATATCACCTTCAAGTTCACAATGGTATCATCTTCAACTTCACAGTGATATCACCTTCAACTTCAAAATGATATTACCTTCAACTTCACAGTGATATCACCTTCAACCACACAGTGATATCACCTTCAACTTCACAGTGATACCATCTTCAACTTCACAGTGATATCACCTTCAACATCACAGTGATATCATCTCCAACTTCACAATGATATCATCTGCAAATTTACAATGATATCATCTGCAACATCACAATGATATCACCTTCAACTTCACAATGGTATCATCTTCAACTTCACAGTGATATCACCTTCAACATCACAATGTTATCTGCAACTTTACAGTGATACCATCTTCAACATCACAATGATATCATCTTTAACATCACAATGATTTCATCTGCATTTTCCCAGTGATCATCGTCTTCAACTTCGCAGTAATATCATCTTCAACTTCACAGTGATATCTTTTCAACTTCACAGCAATATCATCTTCAACTACACAATGATATCATCTTCAGCTTCATAGTGATATCTCTACAACTTTACAGCAATATCATCTTCAACTTCACATTGATTTCAACTTCACAGCGATATCATCTTTGTAATGATATTATCTTCAATTTCACAGTGGTATGATTTTCAACATGGCATACTTATCACGTGTAGTGTTTCAAGCAATAATGACTCACTCATGCCTACAGTATAGAACCAGGCTAGAACGTCCTTACCATACAGTGTCACATTCTGTTATACTGTTTACTTTTAATGGTAGTATTTGATAGTGAAAAATCATTAACTGGCTGTGAACTGATCTTATGTCAAAGTAGGAATATGTTATAGTTCATAGTATAAATTTAGCAAAGTTCTTGAAAAATGGTCTCTTTAGTAAACTATTAATGTAATGAAACTTATTGTAGATATTGGTTGTAATTTAGTAATCTTACATCAATATTTTCACTCCATATGTAGAGTTTTCAAATTTTTATGCCCCCACAGAGTGGGAGCATATAGCGTTGCACTTGTCCGTCCGAGTGTCCGTCCGTCTGGCCGTACGTCCCGAAATCTTGTGAACGCAACTCCTCTTAAACAGGATGGCAGATTTTGCTTAAACTTCCAGGGATGAACAACCTTAATGTGTAGATGGCAGTAAAGGAAGGAATTTTTGCTGCAACCAAATTTAACAGAATTATGGCCCTTTGTTGATTTTTTCACTATATACTATGTAGAAATTTTGTGAACGCAACTCCTCTTAAACCGGATGGCAGATTTTGCTTAAACTTTTAGGGACAAACAACCTTAATGTGTAGATGGCAGTAAAGGGAGGAATTTTTGCTGCGACCAAATTTAACAGAATTATGGCCCTTTGTTGATTTTTTCACTATATACTATGTAGAAATTTTGTGAACGCAACTCCTCTTAAACCGGATGGCAAATTTTGCTTTAACTTCCAGGGATGAACAACCTTAATGTGTAGATGGTAGCAAAGGAAGGAATTTTTGCTTCGACCAAATTTAACAGAATTATGGCCCTTTGTTCATTTTTTCACTATATACTATGTAGAAATTTTGTGAATGCAACTCCTCTTAAACTTGATGGCAGATTTTGCTTAAACTTCCAGGGATGAACAACCTTAATGTGTAGATGGTAGTGAAGGAAGGAATTTTTGCTGCAACCAAATTTAACAGAATTATGGCCCTTTGTTGATTTTTAGTTTTCAACTTGTGGCACATGTAGTCCAAAAAATATTTGACCTAGCGTCATAAGATTGACAGAACAGTGGCGTGTGGGGGCATCCGTGTCCTATGGACACATTTCCAGTTTTATTGTTATTGTAATTTTATTTGTAAAAAGAAATCCATTACTGTCTTGAATGTGTAAAATGTTGAATAATAGTCATTGCTGTACATAAATGTGGTGACATGTGCTCTTTACAACATAGTGTATATAAAAGTAATAGACATTAATCTAGCCTAAGTTTACATTATGTAGATAAAAGTTATTCATTTTACTGTATTTTTTAGAGAAATATTTGTATTATGTATGTTATATAGATTATAAAAGTGCTAATTTTTGCGTTCAAAAATTTTAACACTAGTGAATTGATTTAGAGGTCAAGGTCACAGTGCCATTCTGTGTAAAAATTTGTTTCATAAACCCTTTAATTTATTAGGGATGTTCCCTTATGTCCAGTAGATGCTATATGTTGATTTGAGGTCATCGAGTCAACAGTCAAGGTCATTGTGACATTATGTAAATTCTTTGTCTTACAAAAAACTTTAGATGTAGTAAACCTAGTTTATGTAACTTTGTAGGGACATTGTCCTATGGCCTGTAGGAGACCCCTATCAACTGAATTTAAGGTCATAGGCCAGAAGTAACAAATGAAATATTTGTCTTATCAAGAATAAGAGTTTCTTCAGTCATAGGTTTTTGAAATTTATTTGTTATAATGCTATCGATATATATATGACATATTGATACAACACTTTGCTTTTATAAAAAAAAATATGCATACTGTAAGCTTCTAAGTATTCCACTGTGACAGCAAATTAAGTGCAGTCATAAGTGTCCTTTGGACACATTTATAGTATTTTTCTATGAAGATGATAATACTGTAATTTATAATTGCTGTATAAATATATGTAATATTGTTGCATTAAGCCACTATGCAAAGAATTTTGTTCCAGTGATGTTATGTGATATTTGTCTAGTGTGCTTTAATAGCTTTTCTTTAAAGTTTACAATTTTTTCACGACCGTAAAAGAGTTTGTATCGGTCTGTTTGTTCAACATTGGTATTGTTTAAAGCATTATTTTACTGGTGAAATATCTAAAGTTACTATTGTCAGTCACATTATTTTAGCTTACAATATCTGACAGGTGTAAATTACCATGATTATACTAACCTCACTAGCCATTTGTTTTTTCAACATTCATTTAAAGTTTGATGTCTCCTGCTTAGTGAGTTATGGCATTTCAAGTCCACTGGACTTGACTGGACCGTGCTGATTCAAATAATTTCTTCCATTTTAGTTTAACTCAAAGGGATTAAAAGATTGTTGTTTGTAGCTGTTTATCTCTTTGCTATATCTCATCTTCCACTGCTGGGTATTTTCAAGCCATTAAATATGTCCCCTGTTCTATGAATCTTCATCTGTCTGTTTAAGCAAAATAAAGCATTTGGCTATGTTATGGTATAGATTCTGACCATTTTGTCAGACACTCCCTTGATGATAATTCTAGAATTCCCTTAATTTCAGTATAAAATTTAATGAATACCCTTATTGATGATTTAAGTTTCTGAAATCCCTAAAGGATAGTTTTTGAGTTTAATTTATGACAGTTTTTGAATTCAATTTATGTTTGATTTTGAGTTCCTTTCAGGATAATCATTCTCAACATAATTAGGTGTATCATTGTTACAATTACAATGCAATAAATTTGAAAATGAAACAAGGTTTGAAAGATAGCAGATTTATTAATATAATTACATGTATTTAAAAAGTAAATAATTATATCTTTGATTTAAACATTACACAGGTTTATACATTATAGAAATTATTTACATTAAATTACGTTGCCAGGTACCAGATAGTAGAATACATATATCCCTCTGTAATATACTAATTACAGTTGTATATGTTGGCTAGAATTCATTACAATTGATTGTCACATTTTATTTTTTGCATAATAATATGTATCTTATTTTCTGTTCAGCTATTAAAGGAACTCCACTGAGGTAGAAAAAAACATTAAATTTTAATTTCATACATTCTTATAGAATGGCTATATATATATATGTATTTTATATTATGTTGTATATAGATGAGACTGGATTAAATAAATAAATTAATTAATTAATATACCTATATCACCTGGGGTACTTAAACTGTAAAGATATGCAAAAAATGAAATGAAAATATACACAGAATTAATTTGAAAACTGTATTTTTGTTTGATTCTTAACCAATTTGATTTAAATGTAGTAACTATTTTCATTTTTTAAATATATAAAAAAAATTGTTGTTAGTAAATTGATCTAGAATGCATCAAGTTGAACATTATTGTAATATTAAAAAAAGTATTTTCAGTCCCATTATGTAAAATAACCATAGTGGAGTCCCTTTTAATATAGATATATTTTCATAGTTGAGTGTTAGTGGCATGATTAAATTGATATAAGCAAATTTCATTTAGCCATGCTATAATGTCATTATGTGCTAGTTAGTCACTCTTCAATTTTTATACATTACTATATTTTAATTACATTTTTTTCCGTTGTTATCCATCTTCTAGTGCCTATTGGTTGTGTAATTTCATGTCTTTTATGTAATTTCATGATAAGATGACTATTGTCTTTAAGTATTAACCTTGCTCTGAGAATGATATGTGCTGTTATTTTGATGTGAGAATATTACATTTCATTATCAGAAAAAATGGGTCTTTACTTACATCTATAGTTAAACCGGAGGTCTACTTGATATTAATTAATGTCCTGTGAAACATATTTTGTTGGTTTTATCCACACGCATAATTATCCAGAAATGGCTACATATGACATGATTTTCCTGACTTCAGAATTTGAAAAGTACAAAATTTTATTGTACATTCAATGTACCTTTGTACCTGTAAAATACTGAACAGAATGGTTGCTATAGAAATAGAAACATATTTTAGGTTTAAACAATGAAATGAAGTAAAAGAAAATAAGAATCTAATGTAAAGAATCAGGTCTTGCCCCATAAGAGGAGCAATTGCCTAGTGGCTAAGGTGTCTGCCTTTCAATTCAGAGGTCCTGGGCTTGAGTGCTACTGAAGTCACAGCCGTGTTTTCTTTATGACACAAATAATCGTACGTTTCAGGAAAAAGACTGTTTGATATTTATTGCAAGAATTTGTTTCACCGTCAAGCATTAATGAATATGTTGTAACTTAACTGTCTTTTTACTATGAAACCAAACATGTATGATCAGCCTTTATTAGAAGTAAAGATTTTGAAATTAATGTAGGCAGTTAAATTCATACTTTTCCAGTCAAATGTTTCACAAAATGTTTACAAAATATGATTGATATGTTTTAGAGAGCCTGGTTAATCCTATTAGACAATGAAATGTAGATTTTAATAATAGTGATAATCTGTTTTTGTGATATATATATATTGTATACTGTTGTCTCGTATTTATCTGTTTACACTAGTATTTGTGTTATTTTCAGTACTTTTATTCCATATAACATGTTAATTGTTGCTTTTTTATATTTCAAATACATAACTTCAAAAATAATTTATTATCATTTTTTGTCCTTATAATGGTAACTATTCTATGCAGTGTTACCTGGAGTTGTACTATGGCTCGGTCACTTGAGTAAAGTCCATATGCTTTCCTTAAAGCCTTTACCAGATTTCAAGTGAAGTACATCCCAATTTTAAATATCTTTAGCACAAAGTGCGTATAGCATATCTTTTGTAGAAAATATTTCATAGAAAATATGTAGGAAAATAAGTTTTAAAGATCGTCTGTTCATAGACCAGCGCATAGAAATTTGGTATAGAGCATATTTAATCGTCCTCAACAAAACTTTTTTAAAAATCGCATAAAAAACCTTGAGTATGGAACTACAGGTGCTCTAGGTTTTAGGTATAAAGCATGTGTCGTTGACTTTGAGTCCTCTATGAAAATTAGATTATAATACTAGTACAGCGTGCCCCAGGAGTCAAAATGGTTCAGCCATGGGTGCCATTTTGTTACCTAGATTTATTTAGGCAAAAACAAAACAAAACAAAAACACACATTTTTAAAAATCATCTGAAACAAAAAGTTCCAAAGTTTACATTTTTGGCATTGCTTTGTGGCAAAAGATATTAATGGTCAAAGAAATCGTGTATTACATATCCATAATTAGGTCCTTCTCTGGTATTGCTCTGAAGCTTTTTAGTGAGCACCATCCCTACTTTTTCGTACCACCCGACATTTCTTCCTACTCTACGAGGTACTGCTTTACTACTTAGTGACAATCATTCCCACGTTCAGCTAGACAGCTCTTATTTAGCATTGTCTAGTAGATTAAATTATAGCAAGCTGTTTTAGTAAATATTGCCCTTAGAGTCAAATTTATATGTCCACATTTCGATGGCATAAAAACCAAGGAAATGGCTTTTAAAGACTTTTTCCTTGGAAATTTATAAGTTATTTATTTAAAACCGTCTATTATATTTCAAACGTATATGAAAGCCTTATTGTCAAAAGTGACCCACCTTTTGCATATGTTTATCTGCATTTCTGACTTAAAGGATAGCTATTTAATTCCATAAAGACCTCTTGTTTGTTGATTTGGTTGCACAAACACTAAGCGTTTCCAGTTTCATGAGTAAAGTTGTCAGGAAAGACCCTTTCCTTTCTGCCATTCTTTGCGTGATTTTACTCACGCGGACAAGGCTACTGCTCCAAATTAATTTCCCGTAGCACGTTCAGGGAAGTGGTTGTTTTAGTTGTCTATTTATAGAAAACCACATGCGCTATCGACATTGACTGTCATTGAAGTAAAATGGGTTATAATCCGGATTTTCAGGTTTCGAATTATATAAAGTTGAATTAAATTATTGATATTTTCGGCTAATACTTAATTTTAAAGAGGTAAGAATTGTTTCTTTGGTCGTTGATATACGTACTTAGCAAAATAATTACGGCCTTCATATCCATGTACAGTACAGTATTGCTTTAACTGTTTAATACTTTCATATACTTACACATACGCGTCATTTAAGAAGACATAAAAAGGAAATTGATGAACTACACATGTTTAAGATTTTTGTGACTCTATTATATCATCACATAATCTAATTTCATTTAATTTACGAAAAAATAATTAATAAGAGTCAATGTCAAGGTATTCTGACGTCTAATTTTTCTATGGAACGCCATTAATGAGTTCTTTACAGTATTACTTTTAAATGGCCATATGTGAAATTTATATAATTTGAAATTTCTGTTTAGCGCTGCGCATTATCAGAATTATTTTAACTTTAAAGATATATATATATACATGTAGAAAAATCAATAACGAAAATCCCAGTAATTCATCACTTTCAAAGGCCTTGTATAGTTCTGTTGTGCCATTCATTTTAAAATCACAGGTTGGCAATGTAGAAATGACGTTTAAAGTAATTTGCATTTCAGATAGAAGATGTTTTCTAAGTCTTCATCCACGAGAATAACGTGCAAGTTAATACGGAGGTGTTTTACTTCTCAGGTTCAGACATCTACCGCTTGCAGCGTCGGCTGCATAGATTCTGTGAACAGATTTCTAGATAAATATGATACATTTATGCTGGATTGTGACGGCGTATTGTGGAGGGGTGATCATATTACTCCTGTAGAAGGAATCTCAAAGGCCATAGAGAAGCTTCAGAGTTTAAACAAGCGTGTTTTATTCGTAACAAACAACAGTATTGCTTCACGATTGATGTTGCAACAAAAATTTCAGAGCTACGGGTTTGATTCATCGTTGGAAAATATATTTGGAAATGGATATATTGCCGCAAGAGTCATTAGAGACGTTCTAAAAGTTAGCGGGAAAGTATATCTGGTTGGTGGACCCGGCATCAAGTGGGAATTAGACCAGCTTGGCGTAGATAATGTCGGTTTTGGTGTGGACCCTGATAACCCGACAAGTGACGAGCAGGAATTACTAAATCATTCATTTGATGACAATATAGAGGCTGTTCTTGTAGGCCATGATGAATACATGAGCTACAATAAAATTTATAAAGCAGCTTCATATATCTGCGATCCGAGATGTCACTTCATAGCGACCAATAACGTAGAAAAGGGGATCTTTATCGGCGACGGGGTCAATAAACGCCGTATGCCGCTAGCCGGTATGGTTGTGAACGCTATAACAGAAGTTGCTGGTAGAAAGCCACTGGTGGTCGGGAAACCAAATAGGTTCATGTTGGACTGTATTGTCGGTAAACATTGTGATATTGATTTCAGCAGAACTGTTTTCGTCGGTGATCGTCTTCAGACTGACGTAAAGTTTGCTAAAACTAACGGTATTGATTCCGTTTTAGTGTTGACTGGTGTTGGCAAGGTTGAGGACATCGATAGTAATCCAGAGTTGACACCGAATTATGTGATGCATTCTCTTTCAGACATTGTTCACTGATATATTTACAAAATCATTTTATGTAATTTTACTTCTTTGCAGCTACTAAAAACAAAATTCTCAAAACTTTGAATTCCACATGACTTTTATTTTAATTGTCAAATAGCTGATGTAAATACACTTAACATAATTGATATTTATTAAATCAGGAATACTATTATATGATATTATCTCTTTAGAATTAAAGTATTAATTACTAAACAATATAGTGTTCAGTGTTGGAACTTCTGTAGCCAGGTCATGTACGTACTTGTTTGTAAAAGTAAACTTATTTATAAGCAGTTCCATCTTATTTTAATCTGTTTATAAGCAGTTCCATCTTATTTTAATCATTCGATTTGTTTGATTATTTCTGAACTTCATAAGTACTTAATTCACTTTGAAATTAACTTTATTTAATTATTTTACTTATGAATGTTTTTACATTATTCAACTTTTCTTTCAAAAATATATTTTAAACAAAATTATGCATTGTGCAGTTTCTTGAAATTATTTCTATATTTTTGAAGTAGGGTCTTTCAAATAGTATTTCTACTTAAAGACCTTGTTTTAACAAGAAGCCAAATATTTCTACCGGTTGTTACCTATTTATAATAATTTTTCGGTAAAATGTTCATACATTTCCACTGAATTTATGCAAAACTGTTATGATAAATGCATAGCGCTAATATTTTAATGTTTATTGAATATCTAAAATGTAAAAGGTTATTACCGTATGTAGTATGGCACGTTAGTAAAGAACGCGTCACGTCACTAAGATATAAACCATGTAACACTTATTAACAGTGAAAAAGACCGGATTTCGGCCAGAGGCTATATTTAGAACACGGTTTTATGTAATTTTGACCATCGAAACCATTGTTGTATTGTCAGTTGTTCGTGTGACAGGAAGTAGGTAAGATATTTATTGTTTCGAATCGCTGTCATTTAAATGTAAATCGTAAAATATATTCAATATTAATAACATTGTATACAAATATTCTTCGAAAAATAAAGCCATCGGCAATTAATTTATCTTATTTTCAAAGTTCAAAGGAGGTTAGACTAATCAGATCTAGAATGATATAATGATTATTTTAAATGATAATTTTTCTTTCTCTGATCATGATAATTTTTCTTTCTCTGATCATAGTCTTTCGGCATGCGACAAAACAATTTTTGACTTTTTTGTGTACTATGGAACGCCACTTCCGACTTCTTTTGACTGGTTAACAATTTTGCCCAGTTGTCAATAGATCTCGTTTTCAATTCTTTAACTTGAACAATCTATTAGCAAATAACCCCATGTTTATGTCATTCCTTATTCATTTCAGATGTTAGAGGAATTCACGCTAAAAATACAATGTTTTCGAAGTCAATTTCTAGGCACATGACGTATAAAAACGTACGGAGGTATTTTAATTCTGTCTTGAATAATGAAACTCTGGCTTCTGTGATAAGTGTTGAATGTAAGGACTCGATAGATCGCTTTCTGGACAGATATGATACGTTTATGTTTGACTGTGATGGTGTTTTATGGAGAAATGATCATATAACACCAATACCTGGTATAAACAATGCAATACAAAAGTTACAATCACTTAATAAACGCATTTTGTATGTAACTAATAACAGCATTGTATCACGTGATTCGCTGCAACGGAAGTTTCACAGTCATGGATTTGAATCACCTCTAGAAAACATATTTGGCAACGGATACTCGGCAGCCGTTTTCATTAAAGAGCTTCTAAAAGTGTCTGGAAAAGTTTACCTCGTTGGTGGTGCTGGGATGAAATGGGAGTTGGACCAAGTCGGTTTGGAATCCGTTGGAATGGGCTCGGATTCAGACACCCCTTCGTCGGATGTTAACGATCTGCTTAAGTATAGATTACATGACGATATCGAAGCAGTGCTTGTAGGTTTTGACGAACATTTTAGCTTCAATAAGATATGCAAAGCTTCCACGTATATCAGTAATCCACAATGTCATTTCATTGCAACAAACAGTATAGAAAAAGGGACGTTTATTGGTCAAGCAGACAACAGACGGCGTATGCCTTTAACTGGCATGATGGTTAATGCAATATCTGAAACAGCTAATAGAATTCCAGTGATTGTCGGTAAACCTAATACAGTCATGTTTGAGTGTATCAAAAAGAAACACGATATAGATAACAGTCGCACAGTGTTTATTGGTGACAGCCTCAAGGCCGACATGGGATTTGCTAAAACAGTTGGGATAGATTCTGCCTTAGTTTTGACAGGTGTAAGTAGTCTGAAAGATTTAAGAGATTGTCCAGATTTGACTCCAACTTACGTCATTAATTGCTTTGCGGACATTGTGACATAGTTAATATTTTAGCCACCCCATGAAATCACTACATGTTCACGGAACTGACAGACTTAACTGCGGCATGACTACAACAATTATTTGAAGAGCATGTTGACTATGCATTTAGTATATTTATTATAAATCTTAACGTTTTAGTTTTAACGTTATTATTATTTTACATAAATGTATATTTTACATTGTTATCTTGCACGTCCATAGACGCTGTTTGTGACAAGAAAACTCAGGGATATATTTGTTGTATATTATGTTATTCACTCTGAAATTAAGATGATATTCGATACTTGCTGACGTACTGGTTACGTGTGCCTGTATTTACATATGTGCATTGTATTTTAAAACTACATTGTTTAACTTTTAAAAATAGATCTATGTGTCTTTATTTTGATTTATCACCATTAATGTTTTTAAAAAATATTTGTAAATATTTGTGATTGATATTTGAAAGATAATTATAGTAACTTCTTTTAATGGGTATATAGCCCCAATCCATTTTAAACATGACCAAAGATTCGTATTTTATTCATGACATATGTATGTGTTCAGTTTTTAAAACTACTGTTTTACTCTATTTTAGCAATCAGTGATTTTGCTTCTGTGATATTCTCAATTTCATTAGAATTATTATATAAACACGTGCAAGAATAAGAATATAATTAAATGAAATGCCTTATTAGGATATATCCATAATATTGGACTTGAATTTCCTCTCGTCAAGACCAACAGCTCAATATGGAGATCATTATTGACATCATTACTAAGATGGATTTAAATTATCAAATATGTATAAAAATATCAATAAGATCTGCAAATTGCATCCGTCAATATGTATATGTATGTATATATGTGTGTATATGTATGTATACTAGTATATGTGTGTATATGTATGTATATATGTGTGTATATGTATGTATATGTGTGTGTATATGTATGTATATATGTGTGTATATGTATGTATATATGTGTGTATATGTATGTATATATGTGTGTATATGTATGTATATAAATGTGAGCAATGTTAATGTTCAAACTTCTCCAAATATTGATGTTTAATGAACATCTATGTTTGTCTTTGCTCGCCATTTATACATTGTAATGACATCATGGGCATATGCCTTATGGAATTAAAGAATAAACTACTATGATAGTCAGCGTCACTGTGTCTTAAAAAGAGAGATACACTACACACGTATAAACAAACATAATATACTGTATATACAAGCATTTTGTGACGAATAAAAGTATTTTCTGTTAACAATTGTTTGTTGTTTATAATTATATAAATTAGCTTGTTACTGATGCGATTTTCTTTCTGGAAAACCACGAAAAACGATTTTTTCCTCTGTCTTTTAGAATACGTCAGTTTTTCCATATGGCACTTACCCTGCTAACATCATACATTTGACATACCTTTCGATGCAAAGTAATTACAACCATGCATTTTTATCCCCCGCCGATGGAATCGGGAGGGGGATATAGTTTTGGCGTTGTCCGTCCGTCCGTCCATCCGTCCGTCCGAATTTCGTTTCCGGAGTAGTTCTCTACAACTACTGGCTGGAATTCAACCAAACTTTATGGGAATCATCAATATCAAGAGGAGATGCGCATATCGTCGGCTTGTTCCGGTCCGACCCTTTAACTCAGAGTTATGGCCCTTTATTAGTTATGTAGTATGCATATAGAGTAAAAATCGTTTCCGGAGTAGTTCTCTGCAACTACTGGCTGGAATTCAACGAAACTTTATGGGAATCATCAATATCAAGAGGAGATGCGCATATCGTCGGCTTGTTCCGGTCAGACCCTTAAACTCAGAGTTATGGCCCTTTATTAGTTATGTAGTATGCATATAGAGTAAAAATCGTTTCCGCGCTACTTCTCTGCAACTACTGGCTGGAATTCAACGAAACTTTATGGGAACCTTCAATACCAAGAGGAGATGCGCATATCGTCGGCTTGTTCGGGTCAGACACTTTAACTCAGAGTTATGGCCCTTGATTAGTTATGCAATATGCATATGGAGTAAAAATCGTTTCCGGAGTAGTTCTCTGCAACTACTGGCTGGAATTCAACGAAACTTTATGGGAATCACCAATATCAAGAGGAGATGCGCATATCGTCGGCTTGTTCCGGTCAGACCCTTTAACTCAGAGTTATGGCCCTTGATTAGTTATGTAGTATGCATATAGAGTAAAAATCGTTTCCGCACTACTTCTCTGCAACTACTGGCTGGAATTCAACGAAACTTTATGGGAACCTTCAATACCAAGAGGAGATGCGCATATCGTCGGCTTGTCAGACACTTTAACTCAGAGTTATGGCCCTTTATTAGTTATGCAGTATCCATATAGAAAAATATTTGTTTCCTCGCTACTTCTCTGCTAATACTGGCTGGAATTCAATGAAACTTTATGGGATACTAAGAGGAGATGTGCATATAGTTGCCTTGTTCCAGTCAGATACTTATATCTCAGATTTATGGCCCTTGATTAGTTATGTAGTTTGCATACATCTCATTGGCATTTCCAGATTTTACTATTTAACACAAAGTTATGGCTCTGTTATTGCCCTGAATATTTATCAAGTTCAAAGAATATTACTGTTTATGCCATGATTAATATATAAATAAAGCCTTATGTCTCCAGTTGTTGTGTTAATAATAACCAGTACTCGGCGGGGGATATAAATTCAACGAATTTGCTTGTTATAACTTGATAGTTTATAGAAACGAATTGGCTTCTTTTTATCTTTTAGCAAAAGCTAGGTCACCCAACATGACAATACATTAAATATTCTGATTAGACTTTATTTTTTCATGGATTTATGTCCTCGTGTTATTTTATTTTCTTTCCGGAACGTCTGTAACAGGTATTTTGCAGTACTAAAAACTTTGATGTGTTTTTCTCTTTCCGTGGCAATCTTGGGGTGAAAATAGAGCGATGATTGCTGTTACTTGTTTTCCTTGCCCCTATGATCCAACCATAAAATATTGGGAGCCAACTGACCAATGAGAATCGTTCTTTGTAATCAAAAATCCGGCTTGCAGTACTTGATTTGCGATGATTCTCCTTTTTAACACGGCCCACACCAAACTCAACACATTCAATTTTGTACTATTTTGGCTTACACCTTGGGAAGCAACTTTGGTCACGTGACCACAAAAGTCAACGTACACGGTCAAAATCATATATAGGTACTAGGTTTCGGGAAAAAATCCTTCTGAAAGGTTTGTAGAACTCATTGAATGTAACGATTTTTTTAACTAGATGTCTCGATTCTAAAAACGTCATTTTTTCGATGTTACTAAAACATCGGAAAAATGACGCTTTTAGAATCAAGACATCTGCGATAAAAATCGTTACATTTGAAATCTTTGAGTTCTACAATTAAACCTCTCAAAAGGATTTTTTTATTCCCAAAACCAAGTGTCTATGGCCAAAATGAGCCAAAATAGCTCGGCTGAGGTAGAATTTTTGTGTGATTATTTTTCTATCGAAAATTCAGTAATTAATTAATTAATTAATTAACCTTAGAGAGCTTTTAAAGGTGTTACTTCTTCAAACATTAGCAGAAGGATTTCAAAACGTCCTGAGATGCCTGGTTAAATGAATTTCTAAATCACAGAGGGAGCTAGCATCTACATACAGGTGGCACTGTATTAAACAACTCATCTGCATGATGATTGGTCTGAAAAAACTAAAACGTCACTAAAATTTACTGAACAAAAATTTAAGGCTTAATTATCATTTAGGTACATTACTATTCTAATAACAGACTGTCATTTATTCATGGAAAAGCTAAACATAAAACAATATTAATGTTTTATTCAAATGATGATAATAATGACAAAGTTTAAAAGAATCAAAATACTACTTTAATTATGGTTCCAGTGAAATGAGTTATTTGTTTGTTTGTTTGATTTTTATTTATTTATTTATTTATTATCGTACATTATATCTAAACACGTCTTTTTAAACATTTTTGACGAATTAAAAGTATGTTATTATTATCTGTAAGTTGTTTACTTTTTACCAGTTTTAGCTTGCAAATACAGTACCGAACAGCACATATACTTTATTTCTGACTCGGGCTCACCACCCATCATCATAACACACATATACATGTATATCTATTACAAAGCATGCATCAAGAAATCATGTTATTATGAATTCAATCAGTTATATTCCCATATAAAGAAATACATACAAAACATGATATAGTTAATTTAATTTATTGAGGATGTCAAAAAAAAGAAAAATAAATTACTACATTAATAATATCATATTGATGTGCTAATCTACTACATTGTCTCGTCTTTCAAACGATTTGCTACAAAATATTGCCAATTTTCTGATAACCATTTAACAACTGTATGAGTTTGTAAATACTGGGTTTAGCAATGTAGTATCTTGAAATATATATATATACATACTTCAAAAATCTCTATAAAATGGACATATTAATGAATAAAGTGAAATTCAGCCTCTATATCACCAGACATACATATTGTGCATTTTCTTTGACTTTTTTCAATACCCCTATGTCTTTTAGATTCCAAATATAGTTTGTGGGAACCTAATATTATTTTTGCAAGTATTGATCTGTGTTTGGCATTTTGTAGATGCATGTAGTAGATCTATTTCACAATAATAAAATGTATTGCAGTTGGATAGCTTATTGTCGGGAACCTTAAATTCGTTTACACAAAACAAAAGGTATAAGACTGCAAAACAGTAATTAAACAATAACTGACAGTCAATTTACAGTAATTAATGTTCAATTACTAGAAGTTTACATCAAATTTTGCAAGTTTATGCAATTGATGAATTCGTTTTGATGACAAAAACAAACATTCGAACGTTTTCCAATCGGATATTCATCACACAAATTCAATTGCTTTAATTAAAATGTACTTGTGTTTGTAGATTATCTCTTTTCGTCGTTTCCTTTCATTTTCTCGCATAGCAACGACATAAAAATACTTGACACACCAACAGTAAATAGTGCAATAGATACCATAACGTTCGTCGATCGGCAAATAAAAGAATAAAAAAGTTGTATCCTTCTAAAAAGCCGGTTTTTTTCTAACTTTCAATTGATTTGGCATGATACTTATCATTTTAATTCCATTATTTCTCTATCTATCTATCCGGGTGGAAACGGGTATCGAGACCAAGCAGAAATTTTATACAGCCAAGCATTCAGAATAAGTATTTCCTTTATATTTAACTGTTGTCTTTTCAAAGTTTTACAAAAGTTTACTCATCAAGAGAGAATATCTAAAATACTTTTGATATGTTTATTTGCACCTTATCATGCAAAATCCCTAATTTATTCTAGTCTTTCAGGCACGTTTTCAACGGCACATAATTATCTTTCGGTACTGAAAAGTTTAATGTGTTTGTTTCTTTCCATACCAACAAACAGCATTGCAGTTTTAGGATGTAGAAAGAGTGATACAGGATTGATTACCTGATCTTTTTCGATCACTTCCTTTATTCTTTTGCCCCTTTTATCCAACCGTAAAACATTGTTTGACATGAATCCGCTGATCAACACATTGCCTCGACCGTCGTCACATATTCCATACGGCGATTTAAGCTTGTCATTTTTTATTCTTCGAATTTCATTTCCCTGTAAATCAAGAACTTTTACGTCATCTGCGTCGGTCACAAACACTTCATCTGAGGCGCTGTTTACAAAAATTTGTCTTGGTCTCGTGAATAATTGTTTTCCGGTGTTGTCGTTGATAACCTTACGTTTTCCATCCATGGCAACAACTCGGACATGGCCAGGTCCTTCATTTCCTATTCCAGCACAAGCAACATAGAAGTTATCTTTGTGGTAAAAAAGGCCGCGACAAGGTTGGTCAACTTGAATATCCCTTTGAACCTTTATTGTGTGGTCGTCAACTGTTAGAATTTGGATTCGTTGAGCATCAGTTAATGTTACTGCATATTCGTTTTTCTTGATTTTGCAAAGTCCCCAAGGACAACCTCTGCATTTAAGAGCATTTAACACATTTTGTGAGCTATCTAACAGCTTGATTGTCTGATTCCAAAAATCAGCGACAATTACGCTTCCATCTTCAAGAGCCTGTGTGCTGTAGATATGGTAGGCCAAATATCCGTCCTTTTCGTGCGATATATTTAAGTCACTTACATATGTCACCATGAAGTCTTTATCATCTAACGCTTTCACGTTAGGATTTCCCTCTGATTTCATTGTACTCATTAGATCATCAACAGTTATCCCAAGCTGCCGCGTTTCTATTTTAGTTGTGTCTAACATTTTCTGAGTGTCTGCTATAGTCTCATATATATTTTTAGCACAATCAAGAACTTTTGTTTCATCGTTGATAAGACCAATGTTTGTTCCAAGATGTTCTAAAGTATTTACCATTTCTTCTGTCTGTCGCAGCTTCGATAAAGTATTTCTACAATATTCCTTAACCCTATTCCCAATTTGTTTAGCCGTTCGTTCGTATAAAATAGAGCCATTCTCTGACCCATACTGTAGAGACTCAAGTCTAGATTGTGCAGCTCTAGAAGCAGATTTTCTACTTGAAGCTGACATAGCTGAATACTCTCTGTACATTCTTTAAATAAATGAAATGCACCAATACCATAACATATACCGGTATATTTGTTTAGTTTAAACCATTAGCTTTTATCACAGCTTTAAATGATTTCTTACGCTTTTATTAAATCTTGTACGAATGCCAAGTGTTTTGAAATTGTTTATGTCATTTTTTTATTTTTATCACATTCACAGACTGGTGTACGTGGTGTCACTTGATAAACATATTTATATATACTCGTTTATATTTTACAATTGTTAAAATAAGTTTTTGGAAATGTTAATGAGACGTTTTCAAAAATAAAGATCGATAAATATATAGACTTATCTACTTTAAAAACGCACCACTCGTATTTAGTTAGTTTAAACATATCTATTTCAATATTTTACATATTTTACATTTTTATATGTATTTACATGAAAATGAGAAAGATGGCATGGAACTTTGAACGAATATAATGCTACATTCATATCGTACGTCCTTTTCAATATTGTCCAGAAACTTTAACACTGGCCGTTTATTTATAAATGGACTGTATTTATACTTCGACATAACAACCCTTTGGACAGACAAGACATTAAAGTAGAACTAAACCTTGACATATAAATGGCATTGACCTTAAAGGTCAAATACTTAAATTTTACTTGATTTTTGCTATAACCCTGCTATTTTTGTTTGTTTGTTTATTTGATTGAGTTTTTCGTCACACCTACACAGTTTAGGTCATATGGCGACATTCCAGCTTAACTCTTGCAAGAGACCTCAGGTGCCCTTCCGTGCATTATTCAGGCACGTTGTTATAATATATATTATATGAATGGTGGTCTTCATATTTGGACACACCGATCCATCGGACATGACTTCCTCTCATCATTGACCCTGATTCCGAAAGTCAAATTAGTGAATTTTGCTTGATTTTTTGCTTTGTTACCTATGAATTAAGAAATCAGGAATACTATAATTTAATATTCATATCTGTAAAAAAGTCTAGAATTAAAAAAATTCTTAAACAAAATAACTTCATTATTGGAATTTCTATAGCCTGGTCATGTGCTACGTACATGTTTGTAGAGTTTTTCACTAAGTGAACTTATTTTAGGAGTTCCATTTCATTTTTATCATTCAATTTGATTGATTATTTCTGCTCTTCTTAAGTATTGAATTATCTTTACTAACTATAGTTACGCATGACAAATTTAACATTATTCAACTTTTCTTTCAAAACTTTTTTTTTAATTTACAGACGATATTAAATGAGAGCTGATTCAATACTGAATTTATTGAACGAGTTTTGTAAAATTACATTATGCGAGCCTCTGTTTAATCTATGCGAATATATGTACTCTATTTATCAAATAACCAACATAAGAACTGTTTATGTACAATGAAAACAATCCTTTTTTGTTATTGACGCGTCTTTAGAGAAACGCTTTAGGATATGCTTGTTTAATGTTTTCACTTTTATTCAGAGTAAACTGAGTGCACGGGTGTATATTGTTTATCTCTCTTAATAATTCAACAGTGTTAGTGTTTTTCCTGCGTATTGAAAAACAATCAGCTAACAATATTTTCCAGATCATTTTCATGTAATTTAATAAATTCGTTTCCGTGAATTAATTGTTGCTATTCTTTCATAAAGTGTTTTCTCTAGAGATCCAAGTGCAAAACAAAAGTGCATATGTTTGAGTGGCCTTTGTTCCCATCGCTGTTCCTTTTTTATTCTGGATATATTTACTATCAAAGTAAATAGTTATTTTTTTTAGAGTAAGTTGAAGTGATTTCAATAAAGATGGATGTAGGAATCTAGTATCTATTTTATCGGGAAAATTGGGAAATTTTAAATTGAATGTAGACCAAGATCATGTGGATGGAATGTTTGTAGACATCTTAAGTAACTTAAATAGTGTCTTTCTCTACATTTTCCGGAAAGTAATTGAGGAAGTCTTAGTCATCTCGAATAAAAATAGGTTTTTAATATGAGGTCTAAAAGCGAGGGTTCAAAGGTAAAAGGTTATAACTGCCATTTTTGCTGAAATCGACTTTTTATGTTTTTGTATTTTCTGATCGTAAGATCAGTAAATACATAGCTAACATCCACGGTCTAACACAAAATTTCCTTACAGTCCTAACAACGCAAAGTAGTTCTCACTCATAACTGCTTAAAAACCAGCAATTTAAAAGAAAGAATAATTTTTAATGTAGGCATTTAACAAATTACAGTGCATTAAAAGTTTAGATTAGTCAATAGAAATATGAGGTTACAATCACAAATTTCGCGGATGAATATCTTTATAACCCAATGAAAAATGTTCGGCTATTTCCGTAAAGCTTCGGATTATCATGAATATCATTTTAATCAATGAAAATGCTATTTTTAGCTATGTCGATTAATGAATACTCCAGAGCGTAGTACACAAATAAATCTGACTGTCGAGTAGTGGAATATATACATGTCGGACTGTTTTGGCGAGAAGATTTTCGCTAAATTATTTTCATCAGTGTTAAACAACAGGTTTATCGTGAACAAAATACCTCGAAATTAATAAGGATTGCAAACACGAAATGGAAATTCTCAATTTAGAATTACATAATGTATTCGTTTTTATTCAAGGTACATATGTATTACTTCGCCGTGGTGCAGAGGTAAGCGGTCTCGTTGAGGGTGTGAGAGGCCTATGGTTCAAATCCTAGTCGAGGCAATTATATTTTTTTTCATGCAAAATTCCATATGCATCAATCTCAAACTGTTATAGAAGAAAATCAAAACGCTGTCGCTGCGTAAGATGAATTATAGTATATAAAAATAAACTTATACAGGAAAGTACATACAAATAGTCAGTATGATTTAGATTGCAAAGATCAGAAAATACCATAGAGCTGCAGCCCTTTGATTTATAATGTACTTATTGTCCTTTATGTTTGGCGAAAATATTATATAAATATTCAATCCTTATAAGGGCAAAACATTAAAAAGTATTTTGTAATAACTTTTTTTCTACAAATTATGTAGGGGTAAACGGTGCTAAGTGTATTTATGACCTGTTGTTTACTTGTTGTTCCACATGTTGTGAAGAATCTGTAGTGGAAAAAGGTTATAACTGATTTTATCACCTTTTTCCTCTGACACAATACTGCATTCATACAGTTCACAGGCACTATCTGTTATCTCTTTTCCCAAGAAATTTATCTTGTAGATTTAAATGCAGCGAGAATATAACCGAAGATGAAAGACAGAAAATATTCAGTACATACTGGTCAATGGGTGATTACAAAAGTCAGAGGCAATTCATTTGTTTCCATGTTGCCAATAAAGAACCAGAAAAGGTATCTAAACAGAGAAGAAAACAAAGAACTACTTCAAATTCGTTTTTCTTCACAGTTGGTGGCAAAATGGTTAGAGTGTGCAATGACTTTTTCTAAAAACTCTCGATGTCGGTTCCAAAACAGTTGCAAACGCAGTTAAGCACAAAGTGGCAGGGTTATATGTTGGAAATGACAAGAAAGGGAAAGCTGTGCCTGGAAATAAAACAAAGAAATATCACAGATCATTTGTAAAGAAACACATCGAAAGCTTTCCGACTTTTGAATCACACTACACACGAAAAGACTTCAACAGGAAGTATCTAACGCAAGATTTAAGTATAAGACGAATGTACTCACTGTATGTAGAAAAATGCAAAGGACAAAATAGAAGGTGTGTTTCAGAGTCTGTATACAGAAACATTTTCTGTACAGTATATAACTTGTCTTTCTTCCATCCTAAGCAAGATCAATGTCCACTCTGCAATCTGTATGACACTTTGAGAATGGAAGATAGACTAGATGAGGCAACAAAAGCAAAATATCAGGCACACCAAGAAAGAAAAAAACAATGCTAGAATGGAAAAATCAGCCGATAAAGAACGGACAAAGAAAGATCCAAAGTTTTCTGTGTCGGCATTTGATATCCAGGCTGTATCGCCAAACACCATGCAGTTTAATTGGTGAACTTTATTACAAAAGAAAACTGTGTTGTTACAATAATTATTTGTCATTCTATGAACTGGGAAATGGTAACGGGACTTGTTATCTTTGGGATGAGACACAGGGGAAACGAGGCTCGTGCGAAGTAGGAACTTGTGTGTACTTGTGTGTTACTGCTGATGCAAGTAAGACATCTGTTATTGAAGAAGTGACATTATATAGTGATACATGTGGGGGAGCGAATCGCAATCAGTTTGTTGCAAGTTGCTTAGTTCACTGTGTCCAGTATATTCCTCACATCAAGTGTATAAACCACAATTTACTCGAAAGTGGTCATTCAGAAATGGAATGTGATTCCATACATGCATCTATCGAGCATGCAAAAAGCCTCACAAAAGTACAGGTTCCATATCAGGGGGAAACAGTTATATCATAAGCACGCCGGAAGCAACCATATATTGTCGTTCTAATAAAATACACTGACATACTAGATTACAAGTTGTACAAAGAACAAAACTTTGGCTCAATGAAATTTGATGTTGATGGAGAACGTGTTAATTGGCTGAATATAAAATGGATTCAAGTTCGTAAAGACAAAGAAATGAAAGAATACAGTATTTTTGTGAACTATGGTTTTTGATGTGAGTTCAATGCAGAAGAAGAGCAGAAGCAAAGAAAAGTCTCTTAAGGCTCTACGAAAGGCTTATACAGAGAAACTCTCAATATATGCTGCAAAAAAAAGCTGATTTTATGTCTCTGGGACAATTCCGAATGAGTACGAATCATATTACGAGTCATTGCCATGCAGCAAATCTATAAAACACAAACTGTTATTGAGAGTGAAGAAAATGAGTGAACTTCATGGAATAATTAATGACAAACATTCACATTTTGTGACAGTAGTCTTTATTTACTTAACTATGATATGGGTCACTAATATCCTTAATTGCTGATGTCTGGGGTATGTTTGACTTCAATTCGATTATATACCAGAGAACATTCAAAATAAATGAAAATTTGTAAACTTAGATTTTAGTGCGTATTTTCCTAACTTTTTAGTTATCAATTATTCTGTAGAATCTAAATATTGAGCAGGTATATATTTCATATTTCTATGAATGAAAATTGTCAATTTTGTGTTTGAGTATTATTGTGCATGTGTGTTAATGACATTACGTAAGGTTCTTCAAAGTAAGGACATAATTAATAAATTTGCAACAGTAACAATTACTGCAACATCTAAATTCTTTTCAGAGGAACAAGGCTATAAATATCTGTAAAATGATATTATTTTGATCTTAGAACTTTAAAACAAAACATAATTACAGTGTTTTATCAGCACCAAGCAAGGTAAACTAAACAAAATATGACCTAACGTAGTCAACAAATATGGGAGAATCAAAATTGTTATAAGAATATTACGGAAAATAAAGTTGTATTAAAATATATGGTTTTTTGCGTTTTTCTCGAAATATTGAAAATGGCAGTTATTACCTTTTACCTTTGAACCCTCGAAAGGTGGCTAAGTCTCTATGTTACACTGTTAGGTCCCCATACAATATGTCTAAACTTTTATATCATCTAGTGCAGAAACTTTAATATATTTTAATTTATTCGAGCTTAATTCCTACTTTTAAACAAACTCACGACAAGGCTGAACTACTTGGATATATTTTTTGAATATTTAATGTGTGGTCGTTGACTGTTAGACTTTGGATTCGTTGAGCATCATGTAATGTTACTCCAAATTCGTTTTTGTTCAAACGTCAACCTCTACATTCAACAGTCGACACGTTTGCGAACATCTATGAGTTTTATTTCTTTGTTCCAATAGTACCAATGCTCGTCCCTACTTGTTCTAAATTTTTCACCATTTTTCCTGTTTGTCGATCGAAGTTTGTTCAATGTATAACCGGAATATTCTTTGACCACAGTTCCAATTTGTTTAGCACTTCGTACAAATAGCATAGAACCAGTAACTGATTCAAGTCGTACACAATCTAGTCTAGTTCGTGCAACTATAGCTGCAGATTTTCTACTTGGTCCTAACATTGCCGATTACTCTTTGTACAGTCTAAAATGACAGATTTAATGTTTGTCACTAGAACAATCGCAAATTGTTAATTTAAAAATTTAAAGTTGTAAAAAGCTTTTTTTGTTTGCTTTTTGATAACGTTCATCCTGAAAACGTCGAGTTTATTATATACTTATGAATGAAATATTGAGAAATATTGATGAAATAAAATGCGTATTTTTATTTTCCGTATTTTCACTGTAAAAATTTATTTTTCACTGGTATTTTCCGTATTTTCACTGGTGTCTTGCCGGACTACTTTCTTCTAAATTCAGCTAATAAACAAAATTAAAAGGGAACTCTTTCTATTCATAGGCTAAATGAAGAAAAAAAGTATATAATAAACAGAAAATTCAAGTTTTTTCCATAAATACAGGATTTATTTTCATTTTGTGGTAAGAAAATTATCATATATCACTCGTGGCTACTGCCACTCGTGAAATATTTATTTTCAAACCAGTCGATGAAAATAAATCCTGTGTTTATAAAAGAAACTTGAATATCCTCTATATATTGACTTTCTCTGTCTGAAAATTTAGGATTATGCCATGCCGACTCAAAACTTTCTCTATATCATGTCATCATTTTTCAAAGATTTATAACATATCGAAAAGGTTGTCGAATAGCTTTATCACTTAATTATATGAAAAGGTTGCGGGTATATGTACACACTATAATCAATGTTGTTTTGCTTAAAAGCTAAAATGCAAAGAGTAACATGGGACAAAACGCCTAACTTAAGCATCTTTCTATGATGAACCCATACATATTTACCTACACTACTCTACACTGAGCTACAGTACTCCAGCTGTGGGCAAACACATCTGTGGTGTTTCTAAATTCAAAATTACGCCATTTACGTGTTCAAATGTTGAATTCTTAAAGCCGGTGCTAGAGGGCGTGAAAGTAACTTGAACTTTCCATTACCGTCCATGAACAGGCTCAACCAAACCAAGCCTGCAACTTTTTCAATTTTGTCGTTTTGTGCGTTCTTGTGTGATTCTGTTTTTATCTGTTTTGAAGATATTTTTCTTGGGATGATTTGTTTTATAAAATTAAACAGTTTTGGTAAATGTCGTTACAAACGATATATGGAGAGCCTTAAACTTAAAGAAAGAATTTCTATCTGTAATTATGAAAAACAGTGTTCAACAACAAAAACAAGACGAATAACACTGTAGAAAAGATCACAGTCACAATAAGAGCAGCCGCGGATAGGTTTTCTTTTGTCCCGAGCAAGTGTAGGCATCGGACTCACTCCCTCCTTCCTCAGTTACTCGTACATGTACTTATATTGCGTCATACGAATGAGAATTAAAGCTTTACATGTTTACATTTGTAGAGAGTCTTCGGTAAAAACTGAAACTGTGTCTTAAAGAATGATATATTAAACTCAAGTATAGTCGTGTTCTCTTTTTATAGAAAGGAATATTTATCATAGGCATAAAAAATACAGATATCTGAAGATTTTTCAAGATTTTACAGTATACCTTAATTGCAAAGAAATCTTTTTCATGACTTTCTTATAGATCTACTTCCACATAATAAAACGGAAATGAGTGTATTACCTCAAATGGGCGTGCTGCCTAATGTTACCCTTTTTAAACTTTAAGTAGTACAAAACAAAGTTGTTCGTTATATTCATGGTTATTCCTCTAGAAAATCATTGAAAGTTATTGATTTTAGCAGTATTGGGTGGCTTAATATAGAAAATAGAGTCATACAGTTAAGACTCAATCATGTACACAAAATATTTAATAAAAAGTGTCCATCTTATATGTATGATAACTTTTCTTTAAAGTCTGTTCATTGTTATAATAGTAGAAACAGTGTAGGGAACTTTCATATACCCCATGTTAATAGTTTTACAAAAAGTACATTTTTTACCAGGGTATTAGGGATTGGAACATGCTCCCACTTGATATTAAAAAGGAAAGTAACTTTTTTAACTTTAAAAAGAAAGTAAAAGCTGAACTAAGCAAAAATATGAAACAATTTGAACAAGCTGATTTTATTTTGATAAGTTTTAGAGATAATTGTTTTAATCAATATAGTACATGTTTTATATAAATGTATCTTGTGATTGGTTTTGTGATATATATAAATAGATATCTTTCATTGGTGTGATAACTAGTCATATTCATAGTATTATTCCTGCAAATATGTGATATATGTAATTAACATAATGTGCAATAGAAAATAATATTATTTGATATCAGTCCAGTAAATCATCTCTAAGTATGGACCTGAATGCCATTTCTCAAGAAAATATATTCTTTACCATCAAAGGACCCCATTGGAAATAAGTTCTCTATTTTATATCGAACTTTCATGGGTTATCCTGTGTTGTATATATTGTCTTGAAGTCAACAAGATCTTGATTTAATTATGAATGTAAAGTTATTATTTTTCAATTTAATTACTGTGTTAAAAACAATGTGATAGATATATCTGTGATAAATTGTCTAAATTTGTTTTGTAATATGACATATATATACACAAATCAATCAATCAATCAATCAATCAATCAATCAATCAACCCTTACAGTACAGAATAGAATAGAACAAAACTATGATACTTACGATACTTATGACGATCTTGGAGTAGATGAAGGCTAGTTTCCACCAGCCTTAAACTCTTTCATGAAGAATTGGTTTTATCTGATGGTTTTCGGTATCAATATAAATATAACTCACTAAGGTCATTCCTATCTCGGTACCACAATTTGTCCAATTTATTTGACGTGACGGATTTTTATAGTGGTGTTCATCTATTAAAGTGAAATCGAATATCAGTACTTAACCACTCATTTTGCGAATTTAATTATTATGCTAATTTCGCAGAAACACCGTTTCCGGGTATTTACTTCCGGGTTTAACATGGCGCAAAATTTGATTTGAGTTGAATCAACCGACTTGCTTTTTATTTGATTCAAAATGGATCTATTCAGGTATTTTTACAAATAAAAAATTGTTTAACATAATACATGATTTTCAAATTTACCCAAAAAGACATTTTGCATAACTTTACTCTCTCCTGGTTAAAAAAATATCTGATTATCCATTTTCTCCTGTTCTCATCATGCTTGTACTGTACATGTTGTAGATTCGTGTCTCTTATTTTGAAATATCGCATATGTGCCAACAATTAATATGAAAAAGGCAAAGCCTCAAAGCGAGCTCGATTTATTTTTTACCTTGAAAAAGAATGCAATAATCGTTCATTTTTATTTTACATTTTCCGTTTTAAAATTGTCATTTGGTATTTTATACACTACTTCCGTTTATTTTGGTTCCCTGTCCCTCTATGGTGAAAATGTAAGTGCACAGGACACCAGTCTACGCTTCCGTTTTCAACCAGAATACATTGGTTTTTATCGTTATCTTGTAATTCGAAAAGTTGCGATTTGTCGATTCAGAATTTCAGTACTTCGGACGAAAGTTTTCAAAACCATCATCTAGCAGGTACTCGCTTTACCGTAAAGCTCACTTTGCGAGCAGGCCCTTTGGGCCAGCTCGTCGAGCTCGCTACTAAACTGAAATTAATATGAAAAAGGCAAAACCTCAAGGCAAGCTCTATTTTCTTTACCGTGAAATAGTAATATGAAAAAGGCAAAGCCTCAAAGCAAGCTCGATGTACTTTTAACGTGAAATAGTATGAAATAATCGCTCATTTTTATTGGATTTAACTCAATACAGGATTGGAGCAGTACCTGTAGACGCTTGCAGAAATCATAATCACAAATTGAAAATAGACAAATATCGTTTTTTTTCGCCGATTTTTACATTTTTCATTCATTATCTGACATAAATCGGTGTGAAAAGATGAATTAGACGTTATAAAGTTCATTCCGCTGGGTCGAAAAGCAAGATTTTAGCATTTTATAGTTCAAGCGCCTTGTCCGGTATATACCGGAATACGGTATTTAGTGTGGTGCTCCAATCCTTTTTTTAGTCACACTCATTTTTATTCCGAGTGCGTGTGACGTCACAAGTACTGTGTTAAATATGGCTATATATATTCACTCTATAATTTTCAAGCGAAATAAAGATTATTAAAAGTGAAATAAATGTAAAACTTTACACGTTTGCGACATTAAAATAGCGAACTTGATTTGATTGTTTTGCACGTGCTGTTTGGCGCTACATTGTGACGTCACGTAAACAATACTTTAAACGTCTGTACAGCGTTAAGACTGAATAAAAGATATTGGTGTTCGGATAAATTTTCTTAGTTCGGCCATTTTCGTTCATTCACAACAAAATTTGACCAAAAAATGTTTTTATTTATCAGATTTTTCAAACAAAATGGCGCCTTCAATGTGAAAGCTTCCGTTATTCTGGTTCCCTGTCCAATTATGGTTCCCATAGACGTACGCGGGTGACCAGTCTACACATCCGTTTTCAGTCAGAATTCCTCAGTTTTTATCGTTATCTTTAAATTCGAAAAGTTGCGAAAGTTTTCAAAACCATCACTTTGCAGGTACTCGCGTTACCGTAAAGCTCGCTTTGCGAGCAGGCCCTTTGGGCCAGCTCGTCGAGCTCGCTATTAAAAAACTATCGTTCATTGTTATGGCTAGCTACTTCTTTTAAACTTTGTTTATTACGCATAATACATGTATATGACATAAACAGAAAGAAAAATATTTGGTTGCTGTCACTTTTGTGAGAATTATTTCCCCTTTTTCATGTTTATACAACACATAAATTAAGATGTATATATATTATATTTTGCTTTCAGATTTAAATTTTCACTATCAACACTTACCGGTATGAAAATTTATAAAACATGGATCAATTTTATAATTCTTTATGTTTTTTAATATAAAAATTCCTCATAAGCTGTTATTTCAATGATCCGGGTTAAACTTAGTTTGATGCTTAGTTTGCTATTAGTTACTTGCCCCTTCACTGCTTTAAAATGTTGCCAAATAATATCAATGCAGGTAAATACTGAATAGGTCATTTTAGCAACCTCTCAGGAACAAATGTACAAAATGTATTACATATTTTCGGTTTATTTATATTATGTTGTAATAGATCAAAAGTTTTCATCAGTTTAGTTCAATTTTGTTGTTGTTTATTTCCATTATAGATCTAAGAAGCGAGATGTTAATCAGGCATCTTTAGAGGATGATGTGGGCCTCCAGAAAAAGCACCATGGTTTGTCAGGATCACTAGATGATCTATTAGATATTGGAAAGGATGATGATGATGTCCTTGGTACAGCCTCAGAGAATACAGCCTCAGAATCAGGTAGATTTAATATTACTTATACCATTTCTTATTTCACATAGTTCTGAATGTTTTTGTGTTGTCAGATTCAATAAGTAAATTTTTAGTTATTACTACATGTATATTAGTTTATAAGAATTTAAGTTTGATTGTTTTAGAGGCCAGTAGCTTATTTAAACACTCTTGAATCCATTTCTGGAACTAACCAGTCCTAAGCATAAGGTGTAAAATCTATTGCTCACAGAAACAAGGACTTGCCCCTGATAGGGTATGAATCCATGCAGCCAGCAATCCTTAGATTTCTTGTCCGAATCATTAACTGCTTGGCCACGCAGCCACTCTGAAAGTTATTGACAAGTCATATTTAAATTTAGAATGCCATGCTGTTTATTTTATTCTTTCAGTTTCAAATGAGGAAAACTTCATTTCAATCTGTATTTATGAGGTGGCTGTAAAGTATAGTTAATATAAGTTAGTATCTATAGTTGTATGCATGATGCATACTATGTGTAGACTTTGTTTATGATAAACAGAATTTGAATGCATAACATTTCATGTGAAGAAATTAATTCATTTAAGATTTTAAACTTTAAAAGGAGTATTGTTAAGATTTTGTTCTTATATTGATTTATAGATGATGATGATAATGATATTAATAAAGCAAGTAAAAAACAAAAGGCTTTTGCCAAAATTTCAATCAAGCGGGCCAAGCAGAAAGAGAAGGAGCAGAGGAAAAAGACTGAGAAAAGTAATCTTTAATGTCACTTATTTCATATTTTGATTTAGTTCAGTATTAAGTGTATAAAGCTATATTCCCTGCTGCCTGGCAGCAGTTTACAAGATTTATGTTTGAGTTTTGAAAAAAAAAGAGTTACTCCAAAATATTTGTATGACAGATATACATTTTGTATGCTTGTATAGATATATTTTTATATTTCCTAATGTGCATGAAGTCTTTGCTAAATGGTTAAAACCCTACTTAAAATATCTGCATAATATTTTGTTCCAGAACATTTTATTCTGTTTATGTGCAGTATTCATGTTTGTTAATTTAAATAACTGAAACTTTCTATGATACAACTCTTCAGATAATCAACATATTACCAAGCTCTACGTATCGGTTGTAATTTTATGTGACTAAATATACAAATTTCAATTGTCTAAAATTGATGTTATATCATCAGTTTTATTAATATTATTAATATTTATAAGATAATTATGCCATAAGTTGTTATAATATATTTAATGCATTTCAGATTTAATATCTATGGAAGATTTCCTTGGTAAACAGACAGAATTCAAGATGTGGCTTTATGAAGAGGTATAAATGAATTATCAACCACAATTTATATAAAAAATACTTATTTAGTTTCTGGATAATGCAAAGGCTGTCACACTTTGGTTAAGGTATGCATGCAAGTTGGTATCTCCAAAACAACTGGAACTTCACACACTTAGATAATAGGATGTCACTGTTCAAGGTACATAACTCAGTTAGTAACTCTTGCATGGATTTTGACAGAGGTATGACCCTTTGTCAACTTAGAAAATTCTTCATCAACAAGGCTCTTGTTTAACTATCTAGTACTGGAATAGTCAAGCACTTTGTTCTACTGACAGTACTTGTTCTTAATATGAATCATTCTTTGAGTCTCATCACCAATGATATGGATATGTTTCTCCACCCCCCCCCCCAAAAAAACTTACAGGCTCTTTACTGTACCAGACACATGTATATTGTTCTGTAGTTGTTTTTTAAATTGAATTTTCTAGCCTGCTTAATGCTATGATAAATGAAGTTGACAACCTTTGTCCATTTTATAGAATAAGAGGTAAACTAGCATAATTTAGTAAACTTAAATGTTAGTTAATAGATATATTTAAACTCTTACTCAGCTGCAACCAAGAGTGAGTAGCATTTGCTTCCACCGTAAAACTTGGTCAGGATGCACATCCATACAGTCTGGCCAAGCTCCATACTGTTTGTTTATCATCTTTAAATTTCCCTAACTATATAATGGAAAGTTTGAAGAAAAGGAACTGGACAAGTTCATTTTATGAAATTCACCAGACTAAATAGTAATTAAATGATATGTTAAATTATATTGTACAGAAAAGCAAGAATGCTGGAGAAATGTCATCACCAAAATTGAAAGCTCATTTTAAACAGTTTGTGAGATTATGGAACAAGAAGAAACTGGCAACAGTAAGTACTTAAAAAGCAGCCTTCATCTTTTCTAAAGGTGAAATATCGATTCATATAATTATCAGATCAAAAGAATTAAGGTGGAAAATGAAGTTTACAGACAACAAAATACATAAACAATATGTAAACCCCTTGATACCTCTAATCTAACGGTTCGCTCTCTAACTTTAAATGAGTAAAGGGCCTGGGGACGATTAGTTTCCCAATCTTCTGATTTTAAAAACGACCTCACATACATATGCATTATAAATAGCTCTCCGGATGCTGTTTTGAAGAAGGCTTAACAGTGATATGATGCACATTTCCATTATTAAATTACTGAAATAATTAGTTGGAAACAACACAAAATTGTTTTTCCAACAGAAAATTAAAGCTGAAGGCCGCTTTAATATCTTTTGACAAGAGCTATTAGTAGATACATGGAAATCTTTGTATAGCAACATCGTTTGGTAGACAGAAATGTTGGTTGCTGCTGAGAGTTGTTGATCGACAGATGTCAAAACTATATTGTTAAGTCTTACTTTGGGTAAAAACGATACTGTTTTAACTTTTTGTACAGAGGTGACTGGTCTATAGAGGGTCGCTCTGCAAATCTTAAGCTGTACTTGAATGCAAAAATAATATCATAAATATGACAGGCTTTTAAAAGTCAGCCAATCAATCAAATAGACCAGTTAGGCTGTCAAAGTCAGGGTGTTTATTTGACCTGAGACCTTGAGGCTTCAGTGGCTGAGTGGATCTAGGTTAACTTCAATCGACTTTCCTGTCATCGCTGTAGGTTCGAGCCGCACAAGCCTTGTCGAGATTCTGCATGTGAGAAAGTTAGTTTACAGAACGTCAGTGGTTCTACTCAGGTGCCTGTTTGTGCCTGAAATAATGTACAGAGGGACACCTGAGCACTGACTTGACACAGGGTGTATCACATAGTGAAGGTTACAGTATTTTTATATGAAACCAGAACTATATTTATTCTGAATTAATTTTTATGCAATTTCTCATAAATTTTGTAACTTAATGAAACGCCTTTAAACTAAAAAAGGACCATCAAAATTATATGCTTTCTACATGTATTTATAGAAATATTACCGATGTTCAACTTTGCCAGAGAGTCCTGCTCCTCTGACACCTCAGAAGTTTAACTTTCTGTCAGATGAAGTAACTGAAGGAGGGAGTCCTCTCTTCCATGATCAGGACAGTGAAGCTCCTGAAAAAGATGTTCTAGCATCGCCATTTGTCACATTTGGCAAGACACCACCAAAGGTGTTCAGATCAAAGAAATTTCAGTTTTTTGGTTCTTCTGGGTCATCTAAGGAAGTTGCACTTGTAAGTTTTTTCATCAGATTTTGTTCTTAAAAGTTTTCTCTAAGCATTTTAGACACATTGTTTAACAGTAAATGGTTTAAGCCAGCAAATTTGTCTTCTTTATTTTAACTTTTGAACTGCTTATTTGTGATACTTGATTCCAATGTTTTAAGATAGACAACATGCAAACCTGGCATTTCAGGCTCCCTGATTTAAGGTCAAGGTCACAGTAAGAGGTCCTTGGTTCAACCTAGAATTTCTTGTTTGTCTTGTAACTTTTGAGCTGCTTAACAGATATTAATATTACATGGGTCAAATGTTTAACTCTGAGACAATTTATAAACTCCACCTGATTGTTATTAACTTTCTTGTCCAATCAAACTTTTGAACTACTTAAAGGATGTTGATGATACTTTGGCAGAGCAAGCATTTGAGGCACCACATTATCATAATAAGGTCAAGGTCTTAGTTTATAGTCAAATATTTTAGTCATTTATTTTGTATCCACCCTTCGTCTCTCAAACTGTTATTATTAATTTATATTCTTAGTTTAAATTTCATTGAGACAGAAAAAGCATTTTCTATGATATGTTTCAGGTGGGGTTCTATCTCACTTGAAATATTACTTTTTAACCAGGTTTTCAACGAAAACCGGGTTATTGTAATGCCGAAGTCGGCGGGCGTCAACTTTTGGTTTCCGCTCAATAACTTTAGTTTGCTTTGGCCTATTGACACCAAACTTGGTGTGTAGGTAGCTTATATCAAGAGGCAGCTTGGGATTGCTACCCAGGTGTCTGTGATCAAGGTCAAGGTCACTGTTACTAAAAATAGAAATTCAGTTTCCGCTCAATAACTTGAGTTTGCTTTGGCCTATTGACACCAAACTTGGTGTATGGATAGCTTATATCAAGAGGCAGCTTGGGATTGCTACCCAGGTGTCTGTGATCTAGGTCAAGGTCACTGTTACTAAAAATAGAAATTCAGTTTCCGCTCAATAACTTGAGTTTGCTTTGACCTATTGACACCAAACTTGGTGTATGGATAGCTTATATCAAGAGGCAGCTTGGGATTGCTACCCAGGTGTCTGTGATCTAGGTCAAGGTCACTGTTACTAAAAATAGAAATTCAGTTTCCGCTCAATAACTTGAGTTTGCTTTGGCCTATTGACACCAAACTTGGTGTATGGATAGCTTATATCAAGAGGCAGCTTGGGATTGCTACCCAGGTGTCTGTGATCAAGGTCAAGGTCACTGTTACTAAAAATAGAAATTCAGTTTCCGCTCAATAACTTGAGTTTGCTTTGGCCTATTGACACCAAACTTGGTGTATGGATAGCTTATATCAAGAGGCAGCTTGGGATTGCTACCCAGGTGTCTTTGATCAAGGTCAAGGTCACTGTGACTAAAAATAGAAATTCAGTTTCTGCTCAATAACTTGAGTTTGCTTTGGCCTATTGACACCAAACTAGATGAATGGGTAGCTTATATCAAGAGGCAGCTTGGGATTGCTACCCAAGTGTCTGTGATCAAGGTTAATGCATTTAGTTTTCATGTTGTAACTTGAGTTTGCTTTGACCTTTTGACACCGAACTTGCTGAGTGGCAGCTTTGGATTGCCACTCAGATATCTGGGAGCAAGGTCAAGGTAATTTGCTTACAATAGAATTTTCAGTATCTACTCAATAACTTCAGTGCATTTTGACCTATTGATTGCTGTCACATCAAAACTAGGTCGTTGAAAACCTGGTTTTCGTCGCATTGCGGCGCTTCTTGTATCCCATTAAATTTTCATTCTAACATATACTGGCCTATATTGGGTGTGTTAGTTTGATATGTTTATTTTGTTATCATTGTAATGTTAATTTGCTTAGAGCTGTCATTGATAGAGACAATATCGATGTATCGTTCATATTTTTCTGCCAATCAATAATCGATACACATTTGAAGAAAACGATAAATATTATTATTTAAATATTTATTAATTATGAAAATGCGATCAAAACATATACAAAAACAGATGACTATGTCTAACACTAAGTTGTATTTACATTATGGACGTATTTTATATTGTAATGACAAAATATGATCAGAAAAAAATCATGCAGAGGACACCTATAAACAAGGCACAACATATTTGTATGAACAGAACATGTATTTTACTAAAATCATTTAAAGGGGTATAAAAATGAATTATATACAAGAAATTAGGAGTCAGTAGTTATTTATATATTGGTGTATCACTGATATTTGTATTTCAATATCGATGTACGGTCAATATGCTTTGCACTGAATCAATGACAGCTCTAATTTTGTTATCATATGTTATGTTTATTTTGTTATGTTTTGTTTATTTTTTGTTTTAGTTATCTGTTGCGCCCATAGGTTCCCCACAAGTTGTACAAATGGAAAAAGAAAATATTTCTAAAGAACAGGTATATGTAGTTTAAATTTTAATGCTTTTACTTTGTTCAGAAATCTCCTTATTTAGAAAAGAAGAATGACTTTTTATGCCATTACTTGATTTTGTTATCATAAAAAGGGGACAGTACTCCATGGATTACCTTGAACTTGTTTGTGGTTTATTTGATTTATTTTATTTTAGACTTTAATGTGCAAAAGACAGTTGAATAGTTTGTTTACTGGTTCTGTTTATATTGCAAATACACTTAGGAAGTTAAAACTTTACAAAATTAAGCAAATAATTGTGGAAAAAAGTCTGGCAAGACTACTATTTAGAATTTAACATTTTAAAGTTTAAATCTTAACTAAATTTCAGGCTTTAAAGTTTATTGATATGGGTTTAGAAGAAAGTTTCTTAAAATGAATTTTGTGTGATTACATACAGCCATATTCATCCTTCTTGTTTTATGTTGATATTTTTCTTATTTCCTCTAAAGATATCACCTTGTCCATCCTTAAGTCTGTCGAAAATGGGGTCATATCATAACTTTTGTTGTTCTTTTATCATAAGACAATATTGTGCGTGCAAGATTGAGTTCCTTGAATGTTCACAGACACAGGCTGAGTCAATCAACCTAAAATGGATTTTATTTTTCGGTATGGTCGATGACTTTGTGATGTTAAAATGACTTGGCACAGTCAAGTGTACTGCATGTAAGATCAGGGTGGACAAGGTCAAGGTTACATAAAGGTCAAAGGCCAAACATGGAATAATTTTTTCTGGGTTCTATCCTTTATTCCTTGATGGGTTTTAAAATTACAAGGCATAAATGTTCACCATTGGGATCCAAGTCAAATTCTATTGTCAAGAGTAATCTTACAGGGCATAAATCATCTTTTGATAATAAAAATGATATTGATGCTTTTTGTAAAAGTCTTGTTAACACATTATTATTTATGTCTGCAGGTAAAATTTGTTATTTTCAGATATTACTATATAGTGTTATGATAGTATTAGTGAATATAAGTCATATACAATAATGTCAGCTTTTGTTTTAGTACCAGGTACCAAAGCTACGCAAAAAGAAAGAATCTGGCGATGACATTCAGAAAATGTAAGTATATTCAACAGCAGAGATAACTAACTACCTATGTCATAAATAAAGAGCCAGAACAGCTTTCTTATGAAGTCTGACCAGGCTCTATACTCTATACTGATGATTGCTCAGTTTTATTGTTTTGATACTAAAATCTTTAAAACCAACAACGGACAGGTCCAAATTAACAGCTGGACATGTTCATTGTACATAGTTGACCAGTGTCTGGATCTTATGCCCAATATAATGTGTATATTTATATTGTATATTTATATAAACATTTACTGTTTTAAAACTCTTATAGTTAACCTACTTAATTATGGGAAATAAAGTCCTTTAAATGAAAGTCATAAAAATTAGGATTAAGATAGAAAAGCAAATGTTCTGCCGAGAGATGACCAAATATTTTTAACATCAGCATAAAACCCAACCAAACATGTCAATGATCTTTTTTAAGTCTCAGTATTAAACTGTTTACTTATTGCAGGCTGTCCAGCGTCCCTAAAATTCCTAAAAAATCCTAATTTTTTTCAGTATGGCTAATATTCCTAAAAAAAATGAAAAATTCAAAGGGAATTCCTAAAAAAGCCCTATTTTTTCACTTAAATTCCTATTTTTTTTATCTTCTGTGATAAACATATTGCGAAACAACCATGTTTCAATCACAACCTAAATTCGAACAGTCAGTGGAGCTGATGTCATGTCTGACTAAATTGCATAAAGTCACATGTTGTATTTACTTCAACTCCTGCAGAAATGTACTTGATAAATTGTCAGATGTTATCATAAAAATAATAAGAAACTGTTTGTTTTAAATGGAACAATGAAAATTGTCTGACTTTGACTATATCAAAATTGTCACCTGTTTAAAATTTTGATAAAAAAAATTTCCAAGGAAGTTACATTTTTATTGGCTACAGAGTTTTACCATTTACCTCAGTCTTAGGTGTATTCAAAGCAACTTTTTACATGATGTACCACTGAATTTCATCAAACTTTATGTAGGGGTCCTTATTAATAAAATCTTAATTTGTAATCAAGTTATTTTCAAGTGATGACTGTATAACAGATCTTTTGTAAGTGATACCAGCTGGTAGATCTAGACAAGTTTCAATATTTGCTAATTATAAAGTGGGTAAAGTAAACTGGCAGTAATTATTGGATGCTTTAACCATTTTGCTACCCAATTAGCATACTAAGAAGTGACACCTTCAGCTACCCTTTTTGTACACATTAACATGTTCTGAACACATGCTATAACATATAGTGTAAGTTTTTTTTAATCTGGAAAAAAAAACTGTCGAAAATCATTGAAAAAGGTGATACTGTTGTGAAATTTTCTACAATTTTTAGTAGCCTGATTTATCATGAACAAATTCTTCATAGGAATATATACCCTGCTGTTTGAATTTAAGTTTTAATATTCCTGGGAATGACTTGAGTGGGTCATATCGTTTTTATTGTTTTTTAAGAAAGATCAAGACTTGTTGAAAATGTACCAACCTTAAAATAAATAAATGTTGATAAGAAAATGCATTTATAGCTAAAAGCTAAAATAAATTTAAAGCATTATTTCCCCTTCCATTTATTATTGGCTAATCATAGCTTAACTAATTGAATATAAGTTGTTCCGGTAAACTTATAACTTTGAAAATGTTTTCATTCTAGTTATGTTTTAATGTAGTTTTTCAGCTCTTTTTAAAGGCAGTTGACCAGTGAATCCATTTCTTCACTGGTGACTATGGAATACTGGTAACACCTCTACTATAACCGAACTAGAACATTATTTGTGAGTTACTTTTGTGTCAAATATGCAAATTTGAGTCCATATTATGGTCTTTTGAGGCCATAATTTAGTTATAAAATTTCAAATTTTAGCCCTAAAATTTCTTTTGTTTACCCTAAAATTCCTAATTTTAGCCCTAAAATTTCTTAAAAATTGCCCTAAAATTTGCCCTAATTTTTTGTCAGAAGGTGCTGGACAGCCTGTTATTGTCCCCCGCCTTTTCGAAGAAAAAAGGGGGATATAGAAATAGGCTCTGTCCGTCTGTCTGTCTTTCCGTCGGTCTATTTTGGGTTTAGGGGCTATATGACAGTAAAGAGAATAGGTTCATTCTGTGATCAAAGAGTTTATGGGCTGGTAGCCCTTAAGAAAACAAAGAAACTAACAAAGAAAATAGCCTCTAAACCCAAAATGTTGGAACGTCTGTCCGTCCGTCACACTTTCGTGTCCGGTCCATAACTTTGTCATTTATTAAAGGAATCTGAAATAACTTGGCACTAATGTTTGTTATAATAAGACGATGTGTCATGCGCAACAACCAGACCCCTACCTCCAGGGTCAAGGTCGCACTTGCTCATTCAAGGTCAACATTGTCTATTTGAGGGTATATGTCGTGTCCGGTACATAACTTTTTTATCTTTTAAGGGATTTTGTAAATACTTGCCACAATTGCTCACAATAATGAGTAGATGTGTCATGCGCAACAATCTGTCACCTACCTCCAAGGTCAAGGTCACACTTGGAGGTCAAAGATTAACAAAGTCTGTAACAGGGTATATTTCGTGTCCGGTCCATAACTGTCATTTATCAAAGGAATTTGAAATATCTTGGCACAAATGTTTGTTATAATAAGACGATGTGTCATGAGCAACAACCAGACCCCTACCTCCAGGGTCAAGGTCGCACTTGCTCATTCAAGGTCAACATTGTCTATTTGAGGGTATATGTCGTGTCCGGTCCATAAATTTTTGTGCCCCCACTTTAGTGGCTGGCATTTAGATTTACCCTTGTCCTCGGTCCATCCGTTCTCTTTTGTGTCGCACGTAAATCAAAAAGTATTTGACCTAGAGTCATGAAACTTTACAGGAATGTTGATCAGCATGTGTAGTTGTGCACCTGGGTAGTTTCATCTGGATATTTTTAGTATTTTTAGAGTTATTGCCCTTGACTTAGTAAAATTTTGTAATTTTTCAACGTGTGTTGCATGTAACTCAAAAGTATTTGACCTAGAGTCATGAAACTTTACAGGAATATTGATCAGCATATGTAGTTGTGCACCTGGGTATTTTCGTTTGGATTTATTTAGTATTTTTAGAGTTATTGCCCTTGACTTAAATTTTTTTTTGTAATTTTCAACTTGTGTTGCATGTAACTCAAAAAAGATTTGACATAAAGTCATTAAACCTTATGGGAAGGTTGCTCAGCATATTTAGTTTTGCACCTGGGGTTTCGTGGATTTATCCAGTATTTGTTATTTCCCTTGACTTAGTAAAAACCATTTCATTATGATGTTATTTGTTCCTTGAGTGCTTGAGTTAGAATCAACCAACTTTACAGGAATAATGATCAACATCACTAAATTACAGAAATAATGATTCACATCACTGTGAAGCTATGCAACTGAGACTTTGCATGTGGATTTTTTTCAGTTTTGTTAGAGTTATTGCCCTTGACTTACAGAAGTATAAATTTGCAATTTTCAACTTGTTCATGCATAGCTCAAAAGGTATTTCACTTGTAGGCCTGAAAGTTTACAAGAATGTTGGTCAGCATGTGTACGTATGCGCCTTGGGGTTTGCTTGTGGATTTATTCAGTATTTGTAAAGTTCTTGCCCTTTACTTAGTAAAAGATTTTTAGTTTTCAAAAAATATTAGACCTAGAGTATATGTTACATGGTATATTTTATGTCCCGTCCATAACTTCTTCATAGAACAAGGGATTTTGAAAATATTTGGCACAAATAGTCACAATGATAAGATGATATGTCATGTGTAACACCAGTGTCCCTACCTCCAAGGTCAAGGTCACATGTAGAGGTCAAAGATTAACATAGTCTCTTAGAGGGTATATTTTGTGTCCCATCTATAACTTTTTCATAGTTCAAGGGATTTTGAAAATACTTGGTACAAATAGCTACAATAATAAGACGATATGTCATGCACAACACCTGGACCCCTACTTCCAAGGTCAATGTCACACTAAGAGGTCAAAGCTTAACATTCTTTTTTTTTCTTTAATAAATTTATTGTTGCATTTGCAGATCTAGCATTGATCATAATTTTGGACTGAAAGTCCTTTAATCCATACCTCAATCTTTTTAAATAGCACAATTTTATGCTTCATATAAAACTTCCCTTGAAACTTGAAACTTTTTATTTAATTAAACGCCTGTTTCTATTTAACAATATTCAACTGCGTTGTACAGTACATATAAATAATAAGAATAAAATTGTGAATGCATGAGAATATGTGGATCAACATCAAGTGAAATAAAAGCTTTTACATACAATTCCAATTAACATATTTTTAAAAAATTGCAGAGACCATGAAATGATAAAACTGATTGATATACATGTAGCATGAGATAAGATTATGTACATACATGTAACTTGATTACAAATAGATTAAAAAGAATAAAACATTCATTTACATTGCACATTCATCACACTGTCAGTTATCAGTTATACGTTACTCATGTTTATCTCAATTCAGATTTTAAAATAGTGATTCAAACTTTCTGAAAAAATGTGTTTTAAGATTTCTCTTAAATACATCAATATTCTTAGATTGTTTCAACTCTAATGGCAGCGGATTCCACAATTTTGGACCAATAGTTCCAAAACTTCTGTCACTAAATGTTTTTCTTTTATTGAATGGAATAATGTAGCAGTTCTCAGAGGTTTTAGCTGAACGTAGTCGGGTATTTGGTACTTGTTTGGTTAGGAGTCCAGAAAGGTATTTTGGAGCATGACCGATTGAACAATTGTATACAAAAAGTCAAAATTTTATATTCGATTCTAGATTTGATGGGCAGCCAGTGAAGGTCGAACAGTGCTTGCCTTGAACTGTCAAATTTCTTTCGTTGCAGAACTAACTTAGCGCACATGTTTTGAATACGTTGCATTTTTTTCAATTCAAAATCGGATACACCATAAAGAATGACATTGCAATAATCCAAGTGTGACATTACGAGTGCTATAACTAGTATTTCAGCTGCTTCTTTGGTGAGGTATTTTCGGATACGTTTTATTCTAAGATAGTTTAACATTGCTGTACGGCACTTTCGTTTGACATGTTCCTTGAAATTTAGTGTTTGGTCTAGAAATGCGCCTAAATATCTAATGGACTCCTCGGAGTTGATCTTATCTCCGTTAATACAAATGGATTTTAGGTGACACTTTTCGAGTTGTTGAGAACTTCCAAATGTTATGAACTCTGTTTTCGATGAGATCATCTTGAGTTTATTAGCGTTCATCCAGTTCATCCCCGAGGCGGGGGACGTTGGTAACTGTTACAAATTCTTGTTAGGGGAGAAATTGTGTAAGCAACCAGAGAGCTTAGCCAGTGCAGCCTTGGTATGGTATTCCAAGGGTCTTGGGGTTCGAGTCCTGTTAGATTGACATTTAAATTACAATTTGTATTTCAACATTAAATTTTATAAAGACAAGTACACAAGTAGCTCTTGATATGAATTTTGTAGTATAAAAGATTATTACATATCATTGATGTATTTTATACTTTTCAGGCCTAGAGGTGCTACTCCGTACAAGGTTTCAATGTTTCCATGGGTATCAACAGAAGTAAGCGAGAATGACCAATCAGATGATGTTGATATTTGCTCTACAGCTACTCCTCCAAGTTTTAACCTACAAGAGGAGGAGGAGTCTTGGCCTCCGCCACCCTCAGATAGCGAGTTACTAGGTGAACACACAACAAGAACTCATGATTCACCACATGTACCTCCACCCCCTCCTCCTAGAATGGGAAGTCTGAAGAAAAGGGAATGTACTTCAAACTCTCCAAAACTGGCTGGTAACTATGCAGATCCGTATGATAAACTTCCAGATCCACAGTCTAAACAGAGACTTGTTACTTCTCATTATCAGGACCCTGTAGACTGTGTTCCTCTTGTAAAACAGAGAACCATTCCGGAAGATGCTAAACTTGTTCTCCAGAATTTGGCAGGAAATGATGAACCAGATTTGAGTTTGTATTCTAAACCTGTGAAAGAGAAAAGATTAAGCAAAGAGGAATTGGAAGAACTTTATGCAAAACCTCTCAAGAAAGCAAAAAGAAATAATATTGGCAGTCTATCAGAAGGTACAGAAAAGCCTGAGCCAGTCTCTGGTGAACCAAGTGATTTGTACAATGAAATAATGGAACATATAAACAAAAGCAGTTCAGAAGACACTAGTAAGATAACAAGTTTTAAACCCGACCCTGATTATGAAACAATTGATGAGTGTCTTGCCAAGGTTAACAGTGAATCCAGTGAAAGTAAAGGCCATATTAGGGAAGTTAAAGATGATACAAGGAAAGTAAAAGATATGATGGATAAAAGTGGAGAAGAAGGTACACAAAAGTTTGCTACAATTTCACGGTCAAAGAAAATGAGGGTAATGGCTGCTTCAACTGAGAAAATCTATGAAACCTACCTGAGTCTAGGAAGGAATGCAAACCCTTTCAAAGGGAAAACGGATATCCCAAAATTACCAGACACAGCTTCAGACTTTAACTCTGGTCCCTTTACACATTCCTTGAAGTTGAAATCTAAATCTCAACCAGACATTTCATTCAGTGAAGGACTTCAAACATTTGATATAGATATGAACAAAGACCAGGATCACTTAAGTTCTGTTCCTCAGTTCAGCTCTTTCAAACCAATTGAAAATAACAAAAGCACACATAAAGATAGGAATGAAAATAAATTGAAAGACAGCGGAAGAGCTAAAAGTTACGAGGATGGTTTAAGGAACATAGAAGAGCCAAGAACACCAATTATAATGGCCACACCATCATTTGATTCTCTCTGTAATGTGACACCTCTTAGTTGTAAATCTTTTTCATCACATAGCTTGCCAAATAAGTCTGGGTCATATGAGAGCTTGTCTTCCCAAAGTCACATGTCAACCTCAACTAATTCAAGCCTTTCATTTGGCCCAGATGATAAATCTGGCTCACTTCAGAGCTTGCATTCTGACAAATCACTTTCACCAGTAAAAGAAGAAGAGGAATTTGATCAATGCATGGATGCAAAGAATGAGTTAAAAACTAAAGTTGAATTACTTGGAAAACAAAATACGAAAAGTCTGACACATGAACCTGTGGACTCTGTGAATGGTGATTTTGAATCAGTTAAAACAAATGTTGTTCCTTTGACCCCAGGGAAAATAAGTGCTCTAAAACATGGAATAGATTTATCAGTGTATCTACTGAAACCTGCAAAACAAGATGATAAAAGTAAAGAAAATGTCCCTGAAAATGAGAAGACTTTGCAGACAACATTAGACAGCCATGTGCGAAAACCTAAAAAGACTGGTGAACCTCTTGTCAATCAGAAACTGTTTGATAACCAATCAAGGTTAGCTATAAAAGATAAATTGTCTGGGGTGAAGACCAAAGTTGATGTAGGGAAGTCCTCTTCAAGGAAGGAAACAGAGAGGCGACATACTGTACAAACAGTTCAAGATATCCCTGTAAAATATGAAGATGCCATGACCGTAACTAATGCGGCAAAAAGTAGAAAGGGTGAGACTGTTTTGTATGGAAAGTCAAAGTTTGAAGAAGGTTTTAATGGAAGTGATGAAAGCTTGCATTGGCCAGATAGCAAGAGACATTGTGGAGATAAGAAACGTATGTTAACTGTAGATGACCACTATCTTGAGACTGATCTTGATAAAGTGATCACTGATAAAAGCCGGAGGTCAATGAAGAAAAGTAAAAGTCACAGTGGTTTTGATACAGGCACTAGTACAGTTGTAACAGATATCTGGTAGCAATATGAATCTGGGTTTAGTGAATTTCAATTTTATTGTTTTTGAAGGTTAAGATTGGGCGGCCCACAGTCAGTATCAAGTTCAGTCAGTTTGCACAGACATGCAACCTGGCTTGGCATTTTTTTTGGCCGCAAGGCTCTGAACTCTCACTACTTTAAACCATTTCCCTGTAGAAATAGGTAGACTCCACATCTATTTTTAGATTGAAAATGTAGCTTCAATGTATTGGTATGTTTGGGACAAATATATGTGTAATGAATTGTTGGTTTTTTGTGTGCCTTACTAGTATCTAATATAATGTTAATATTTAAGGCTGTCTCAATATCATTTATCATATAAATTTATTTAAGATTCAGTAGCTTTATGCCTAAAATAACAAGTTTCAATTGGGAAGATAGTTTGGTAAAGGGGGTGTATTTCCCTATTAAGCATTAATCGGTTTGTTTCTTAAAGTTAGCTGGGACACAATATTCTGTCCCAGCTTAAAGGCATGTTGAGAGCGTCATATATGAGCAAGTTTTTTCTTTCAGTAGAAATGGCAAACATATGTTTTATAATGTTGTAATTATTGATCGACATTGTATGAGGATATTACTGGAATAAAAAAAGCACTGAATGTATACAATTTATGGTAAAGGTAGCACAATGTAAAAGAAGTGGTAGTTTAACTTCCATACATAATACTATATTTATTGCCAAAATGCAAAAGATTGGCAATGAGTGACTATGGAATTAAAATATTTTCGAAAAATAAAAATGATATATTTTGGCTTATTGGTTTGGGCCTTTAATGTATCCATTTAGGTACAATATTGTTTTCATGATAAAAATATGAATTTTGAATTGTTCAAATAATTTGTTTATCCATAATGTTTAAGTAAGGGATATTTTTTTTGTTTCTTTATTTAATTGATCTTTTAAAAGCGGGTATAAAATAGTCAGTGTTGTGACTTGTTTTTTTTTCAGTTATTGTATTTGTTAAGGTATCATAGTTATGTAATCATAATGTATATAAAACTGTATGAAAACCTCTGTCTCTGTTTTACAGCATGTACATTTGTAACTATGCATGTATATTCTTTGCTTTTTGATGTTGTGCATCTTTTATATATATTTCTGTATATAAAGACATCAAAATCTGAAATATGTTGTTTTGTTCATGTTGGGCATCAATCTTTTATGGAAAAAAAGAGTGGTTTAAAGAAATATCTTCCAACACCTGCAGGAACTGAAAGTTACAGTCTTAACCACAACAAGTATAGAGCCAAGCCTGTCTGACCAGGTGCTTTACTGTCTGTATGGCAGGTAGATCAATTCTATATTGATGTTCAAATCCTTTGAATGGACAGCAGATCTGTTACAAAAGTTTGGGTGGGTATATAGGAGTCACCTGGTGGTTGGTCAGTCCAGCATTTTCCTTGTCCGGAGCTTGAAGAACTTGAAGACTAATGGTTGGAATTCAATACAACTTCATACAATGGTCAAGCACATTGAGAGGAAGTGCAGTGCACAAGAACCATAACTCCATCTTGACTAATTACAGAGTATTTGACCTTTGTTACTTTTCCTTGTCCAGAGCATAACTTGAAAACTACTAGTTGGAATTCAATACTATTTCATACAATGGTCAATATATTGAGAGGAAGCCCAGTGCACAGAAACCATAACTCTTTCTTGACTCATTTAAGAGTTTTTGCCCTGTGTTATTTTTAATTGTCCAGTGCACAACTTGAGAATTCAATGAAACTTCATACAATGGTCAAGGGCAGTGAGATGAAGTGCAGTGCACAAGACTTATAGTTGGAATTCAATACAACTTCATACAGTGGTCAAGCGCGATGAGAGGAAGTGCAGAGTACAATAACCATAACTCAATCTTCAGTATTTGTAGAGTTCTTGCCCTTTGATCATCATTTTCCTTGTCCAGTGCATAACTTAAAAACTAATGTTTTGGAATTCAATGCAACTTCATACAATGGTCAAGCGCAATGAGAGGAAGTGCAGTGCTCAAGAAGTGCAACTCTTTCTGGACTTTTTACAGAGTAATCCAATGAAACTTCATCAATGGGCAACCACATTGAAAGGAAATGCAACATACAAGAACCACAACTATCTTTAATTGCCCACAACCATAACTATATTTCAATTGTTTTACAAGGTATTCTGTTACTAGTAACTTCCTCATTTCCAAAGCAGTCTTGCTGGGGTATTAATCACATTTAGTGATAGTTCTAGTTCAAATCTGTTTATAAATAAGGAAAATGTGAAATTTCTTGAATTTTCAAAAATTAATTAAACAGATTTTATATGTCCGCGTTCCATTTTTATGCTCCCCGAAGGGTGAGCATATAGTCGCCGCTTTGTGCGTCCGTCCCCTTTTCTTGTCCGGGCCATAACTGAAACAACAAGAGGTATCAACATGAAACTTTGTAGGTAGATAGATCACATTGAGTAGGTGTGCAGTGCACAAGAATTGTAACTCTGCCTTGCCTAATTTTTAAATTATTGCCCTTTGTTTATTTTACACTTAGAACTTTGTCCGGGACAGAACTCCAAAGTATAAGAGATATCAACATGAAACTTTGTAGGTAGATAGATCTCGTTGAGTAGAAGTGCATTGTTACAGAATCATAACTCTGTCTTGCCTAATTTTGGAGTTATTGCCCTTTGTTAATTTTGTCCGGGACGTTACTCTAAAATTATAAGAGATATCAACATGAAACTTTGTAGGTAGATAGGTCTCATTAGGTAGAAGTGCAGTGCTAAAGAACCATATCTCTGCCTTGCCTTATTTTGAAGTTATTGCCCATTGTTTATTTTTACTTTTTGCCTTTTGTCAGGGACATAACTCTAAAACTATAAGATATCATCATGAAACTTTGTAGGTAGATAGATCTCATTGGATAGAACTGCAATGCTAAACAACCTTAACACAGCCTTGTCTAGTTTTAGAGTTATTGCCCTTTGTTCATTTTTACATTTTGAATTTTACCCGGGACACAACTCTGAAGCTATAATCATCACGAAACTTTATAGGTAGATAGATCTCATTGAATGGAATTGCAGTGCAAAAAATAAATAATAACTCTGCCTTGCCTAATTTTGGAGTTTTTGCCCTTTGTTTATTTTATTATACTTGCCTGTGTCCAAAACCTTCTCGGGGAGCATCACCCGGTTCAACATGTTCTTGTCATTTATATTGAGAGAATGATTACAAGAATTTTCATGACAAATTAAACTAAAAATTTTGACCATTCGCCTGATAATATTCACTAATTAAGAGAAATGTGTTCTAAAATTTTTAGATGACGAATGCCAACTCGTGTAGATTTGGTTCTGAAATGCAAATGGGTTTGGTATTGTATCACCCATTATGTTTTGTGTCAGTCGCGGAAAAAAGCTTATCCAACAGAAAACGCTTTGGCCTGAAGTCCTAAGATTTGGTGTGAAGGTTAGTCACGACTTGTAGATGATCCTCTATTGATTTTGAGGTCTGTCAGCCATACAAAAACCTTGTCCGACCAGTAAGTAGTAGTAATATATAAATATATAGTATATATTTCACACACATACGTATACATACAAATATATTCTAACAACTTGCCAAGTTTGAAGAAACTGTTGGAACAGTTTTAATATTGCTTATAATATCAAAATTTAGAAGGACTTGACCCGTTACTGCACTAAGGTTATTGCTATTATTATGTCTACATGAAAACTCCCGAACGCCGATAACAAAAGCAAAACATTATCGTTCATGCGTGATTTATTTGCACTTTATACATCTATAGTCCAAATGATAACCGAATTCTCAGCAAAATTAATACTTTAAACGTCATGAGTTGATGATTAATTTGTGCAATTAAAAGTGCAGATATACTTTTTTAACTGTTAGAGATGCTACCGCAAGCAATTAAATGGACTTTTTAGGCTCAACGCTGCTGTGAACTTAGCATTATCACGTCTTGATCAAGTGGCTCAAACAACATGATAAATAATTCCTTTGACAAATGGGATAGATACTTAAGAAATCTGTAACTTTTGTTTGTTGTATTTATTGATGTTTTATTCGTGGGCAATTAAGGCCTACCACCACCAAGGTAACTTAATTATTTCTAAGTTACAAATGTTGCATTTTGTTTTCTGCTTGTGACTATAAAAACTGTCTGATTTGTTCTTCGAACTGGTTACGTTTGGTTTGTTGCCAGTTTTAAATACATTAATAGGCTAATGAAAGTGCCAAGATGAAGTGTCAAGTTTTCAAACAAAGGGTACCGATATTGCCCCGGGAACAAACTTAAATTTCTATCCGCCCCAGCCCCATAAACCAATAACTAGACAACACTTAGGCCTACAGACCTAAGATTATTTGTGGAGGTTGTCATGGCTAGTAGGTGACCGTATTGGTTTGAAAGTTTCTTTCACCTTGGCCACAAAAAGCTGGTTTGACCATTAACTAAAGAATGTAGACCTACAGTCAGATTATGTTATCTGGTGTATATAATAGGGTCATTAAATTAAACGTCTATCTAACCAAAGCCTTGTCCGTAAAAAACTTTCCTTTCTAATAACTAGAGAACTATAAGACCTTCAGTCCTATTAGGATTTGATATGGACGTTGGTCATGACTAGAATATGGCCCTCTTGATATTGGGAGGCTATAGTCATGTCTAGTAGATGACTTCAAATGATTGGGTTCAACCGTGGCTTTGGCTATGAAAAGCTTATCTAACCAATCATAACATAACGCTTAAGAAGTCTACAGACCTAAGACTTGGTGTGAAGGGCGACTTGACAACAAAAAACTTTCCCAGCCAATAAGGAGAGAATGCTTCCGCATAATGTCCCAGGATTTGTTGTGGTAGATGTTGATGGGCTAGTAGATGACATATTTTAACTCAGAGGGGTCAAATATACGGCCTCCTACTAGCTTGTCCGACCAATATTTAGATAATGATTTTGCCTACAAGTCGAGACTGATCATAACTACTAAACCAATAGATGACTATTGTTTATTCCTTTTTGTCATGTTGGCCTGAAACAAGAATTTAATATTTCTTTTACAGAATACACCTTAACATGTAATATGTTCTTATAGTTGTGCAATGTGGACACAGTATCAAGGTCCATATGTTACCATATTAATAAGACTTCTCTTTAAAACATTTGCAAATAACACGACGATTTTAGCGGCTATGCATGTATCTTTAACTATTGAAAATACTAATGCGGTATTGTCTGAAGCGTAACATTTCTTTACTATATTTAGTATGGAACGCCGTGACTGTCTTATGTAATCAATGTTTTTTTTTATCTTGTGAAACGATGATATTATTTTGTCGTTTGAGCATGTTAACATGTGCAATTTACATCATGTCTTGTCAAAAGAACATGCTAACATGTACAAACAGCATGTTAACTTGTCAAATTATTATGATGACATGTGCAGACAACATGCTAACTTGTCAAAGTATCGTGATGACTTGTGCAAATGACATGGTAACTTGTCAAAGTATAATGATGACTTGTGCAAATGACATGGTAACTTGTCAAAATGTACTGATGACTTGTGCAAACGACATGTTAACTTGTCGAATTATTGTGATGACATGTGCAAACAGCATGTTAACTTGTCAAAGTGTCATGATGACTTGTGCAAACGCCATGTTAACTTGTCAAAGTATAATGATGACTTGTGCAAACGACATGTTAACTTGTCGAATTATCGTGATGACATGTGCAAACAGCATGTTAACTTGTCAAAGTATCATGATGACTTGTGAAAACAGCATGTTAACATGTCTGATAACTATGATGACTTGTGAAGACAACATGTGAACTTGTCAAAGAATCGTGATGACTTGTGCAAATGACATGTTATCTTGTATCATGCTGACATGTCAAAACGTACTGTTAAATTGTCAAAGTCATGATAACTTGTGCAAATGCCATGCTAACATGTCAAAATTCCATGATGACATGTGTAAACAGCATGTTAACTTGTTGAATTATCGTTATGACATGTGCGTACAGCAAGTTAACTTGTCCAAGTATCATGATGACTTGTGCAAACTACATGTTAACTTGTCCAAGTATAATGATGACTTGCGCAAATGCCATGCTAACTTGTCAAAATTTCATGA